ATATAAAAGGAAAACAAAAGTAAAAAAGATAGATTACCAGCTAAACAATTTTTTCCAGACAAAGAATAAATGGACTTGACAGAACAACAGCAAATTTTTTTTAAAAAAAATATGATTAAATAATACAAAGATATTATCAAAACCACACAGATTGTTACTGGACTGGAACCTTAAGGACTAGGAGGTGAAGGAGGTGGTGGTGAAATGGGCACACGATTGTGGCTATCCAATGAAGATGAAAAATGGGGGAAATTATGAAAAAAGACTTAAAATTCAATACATGCTATCTGATTTTTAGATGGTACCTGACCCTATCCAAATTAGTCAAAATAAATAATTATCCGCAATAAGTATTGGAGATGCAGACAAAATGAGGGAACCTTATTCCACATTTGGTGGACATGTCCCCAAAGGGAAAATAAAATAAAATAAAATAAAATAAAATAAATGCTATTTATGTTAAAGAAAACCAAAGCTTTCCTATTTGATATTCTAACAATAAGCATACCAAATGAAAATAAAAGCGTGTTTCTTTACACAACAACAGCGGCTAGGATGTTAATAGCAAAATACTGGAAAATGAGTTAATATCAACAAAAGATGAGTGGCAATTAAAGTTGTGCTTGTACCTTGAAATGGCCACAATGCCAGAACTTCCAAGAGACTGAGATCTACTCCCAGTAATAAAAATCCTGCCAGTGATCTACCCATTGTCTTTGCCCAGAGTTCTTGAGCTTTTCTCAGGGAGCAGTGACCAGAGTTGTGGATCGACCGCTAGATCATTTAACAAATTAAAATTACATAAACAATCGTGCTTTAAAAGTACATACCCTATATGAAGTATCAAGATAATAGAACTTTTAACACAGTGGTTTCTTCAGAGAACAACAAGTCTTACAATGTATATAGACAGGCGCAGCATTGATTTTAGCTACAGGTGACAGCAATGAGCAGCTGTAAGGTTTTCTTCTTTAAGTGACCCCTTTAAAACAACAAATGTAAAACAAACTTTATCCATACACAGGTTGGTTAATTTGTTAAAATATGTTGAATTACGACATTATATTCATCTATATTACTTAGAATATGTACAACGGATGAAGCCCATAAGAGCGAAACAAAGGCATTATTCCGGAAGTCCTTGTCAACACTGTGGAACTGTAATAGGCTCCAATTTGGACTTTATGAATGTATGTGGAACAGAAATTAGCAGACATTTGGTCTTTCGAATGAACTGATTTACTGGGGACTTCCGTCTATATTATTGCAATTTATGTGTTGTTTATGTGGAAGATAAACCTTTGATATTGTGATAAGAATATATAGAATAGTATTGTTTATGTGAATGCACAGCCAGTTACGTCTTGTGTGTTTGTCCATTCCAGGAACAGCATTCCTGACCCAGATGTTTACAGGAAGTCCCTCAGATGATTCCCGTTTCAAACGGGATACGTGAACCTAGGCCAGTAGGGTCCTCCTCTCCGGCAGACGGACAACCCCTCCCCCAAAGCCGCTCCCTCCCCCACTTCCCCATGGGGGTCCCCCACACCACCCATCACTCACCAGGATGGCTTTGGCCATCTCCTGCTTGGAGCACTTCAGGGTTCGGAGCCCCCTGAGCTGAGCTGCCTGGCAGTTCTGAATCACCTCCGGCAAGTACAGCTGATCTTCCTCCAGCAGCTGAAAGACAAAAGTCAGTTCCTCACGAAGGGAGGGCTTCTCCACATCCGAGAGTGCAGAGTGGGGGGCAAGGAGGGCAGGTCTGAGTCCCTGCTCTGGTTCTCTCCAATACTCACCCCTGGGGGAGGGATGTGCAACCTCAGCACATCTGCAAAGAGAAGGACATGGGGACAGGTGAGTCTGTCCCTGAGCACCTGGAAAGGCTATTCCAAGAGTTTCCTCCTGGATTCAAAGTCCTACTGCAGGGGAGGAGAGACACCCCAGGCCTTGGGGGCTAATCCTGGCCTGCTTTAAACAGAATGTGGCTCCCCAGGCCAGGGGTAGGCAAATTAAGGCCTGGGGGCCGGATCCGGGAATCAGTGTGTTTTTAGATGAGTAGAATGTGTCCTTTTATTTAAAATGCCTCTCTGGGTTATTTGGGGGCATAGGAATTCGTTCATCCCCCCCAAAAAAGTATAGTCTGGCTCCCTACATGGTCTGAGGGACGGTGGACCGGCCCACGGCTGAAAAAGGTTGCTGACCCCTGCCCCAGGCTAACAAGGTGGCCAATATCCGGTTCCATTCCACCCTTTAAAAATTTAAATATCAAAATACATCCCAGCTTTCAGAGCATGTAAACCGCATGAGTAGAAATACCGCTGCTCCATGCACAAAAACAGGACTATACTTCCTTCTCCCACCTTTAAAGTAAACCTTTACGTAACGAAACCAAATTGATCCAAGTCTGCCTTCCTCCACCAACCTCAACTTTGCTCTTCAAGCCAAAAGACAACACTTCCCCGTCCCCTGGCGAAACCCCCTGGCCTTCCATTGGTAGAGCCGCCACCACGCCTGTGGCATTTACCTCACGGGGACTGACTGAGCGGGCGGCAAAACGCTTTCAGCCTTGGACACTTGGCGGGTTCTGAAATGGCCGTGCAGGACATAGTTTGAGGACCCCTGGTCTATACTGACTGGGACATTCTGCATGTCAAGCAGATGCTCTAGGCTAGGGCTCCCCATATTTCACTAGCCTTTCAACGTTATGCTATTAGCAACCGTGGAGATTCCACCTGCCTCTTTTGAAAGGAGAAAACTCACCTGATCAATTTAATCAATTAATAATAATAATGATAATATATTTATACCCCGCCCATCTGGCTGGATTTCCCCAGCCACTCTGGGCAGCTTCCAAAAAAATAACAAAATACAATAGTCCATCCAATATTAAAAGCTTCCCAAAACATAATAACAGCAACCATCCATTTTCAGTCCATTGAATTAGCAATTAAGCATTTCTGGAAAGGGAAATGGCATACTTCTTTTATTAGCATAAAATCATGCATAAGAAAGTATTACTCATTTATGATGAGAATAGGATTTATTTCTTTTGAACCTCGCTTGGTTCCTCCTTGGCAGCCAGTGTGATTGTTTCAGCAGGGCTAGAACTCAGGACCCGCTGCCTTGAGGGACATCTAAGAGCAGTTGGGCAGGGGAAAGGTCTCCCTTGGGAGGTGGTGGACTCTCCTTCCTTGGAGGTTTCTAAGCAGAGATCGGACGGCCATCTGCCATGGATGCTTTAGCTGAGATTCCTGCATTGCTGGGGGTTGGACTAGATGACCCTGGGATCCCCTCCTACCTCTCCACTCCTGAAATCCAGGAGGAGCTTCCTTGCCTTCTGCAAAGCCCTGCAAGCTCTTCCTCTGGTTTCTGGCCAAGGGAGGGAGATGCTCAGAGTCCAGCCAAGAGCCTCACCCCCAAAAGGATATCTGGGCATTGGCGTAGCCAGGGGGGCAGGTGCCCCCTAAATCCATAAAAAATAATAGAAATCTGAGGTTCTGCCAAGCGAGAGAGGGCTGAGCTGGAGGGACTCGGCTTGGCAAGGGTTAAAGGGAAGTGAGCTGCCTTCCTAGAGAGGCCAGGAAGCAAGAGGGGGCCAGGTCCTCCAGAGCCAAGGCCCCTCCCTCCCCAGTCCTTTCCTTGCTTTGGGGTCTCTCCTGCAAGGGCTGCCTCGCTGTCCCCTCCTGGGATCTGGTGAGTCTCCTCTCTCTCCCCCCCAGAGGGTGCAGTGGGGAGACGGGGGGGGGGGTCCCAGGGCTGCAGCAGGGGAGGATGCCTGGGGGGCCTGATCCGGGAGGGGCCAGGTCTGCCACGCTCTCCTTCCTGGAGATCAGAGGATCCCAAACTCATTTGGCCCTCGGCCCCCCCTTTCTGAAAAAATCTCCCTTCTTTAAAGAAAGGAGTCCCTGGGACTTTAACTCTGTGTGACATCGCTCAGCCTCATTGCACAACAGAGGAAACATGTGCAAACGGTTTTCCAAAGCTGGACGAGGAGGTGGACTAGCGCCCCCCCCAAAAGAAAACCCCACGTGGAGGAAGGAAGGAAGAAAAGGTGGGAGAGAAAGGGCAGGAACAAAGAGAGGGACCCCAGCCCCTAGTCTGGCTGCTGCATTGCGGACCAGTTTCCCAGTCGTCTCCCAGGGCAGCTCCCCACGGAGGCCAATGCAGCAATCCCCTCGCACCCAGAGCATGGCATCCCAGGACCACATCCTCTCTCTGTCCCAAAGGGATTGTTGCTGGCAAAGCAGCCGGAAATGGGCGCTGCTACTCACCGAGCCTCCAGGGACCTTGGCATCAATGGCTGTGCGTGTGTTAAGCTATCTAGCAGAATAATAATAATAGTAACAATAATAATAAATTACCCAGCTAAATATCAAGGTAGATGTCTTTGGCCTGCTCACTTGGCCCTCAGGGGGTTGATCAGATACATACCTGGCCCTCAGAGCAAATAAAAAGGGATCCCACCCCAGGAGTCTGTCTGGAGAGCGGCAGAGAGTCCAAGTGCAAGAAAAGGAGACAGAAGCAGGGGAGTGGGGTGGGGGTGGGGAGCAACTCCTGAGGTCCCCCAGGTGAGAACGCCCACTAGAGCCAAACATCCGGTTTTCACAAGATACAAACAATTTGCTTGTCAGTCGGTTCTGACTTCATGCATTGACTGGAAGGCAGCAGAAACCAGGTTGATTAATCTCCCAGAAATCCCTTCAGTTGCCTCCACATTTTGCATTGCTAGAAGGCGAGAGACTTTTTCTTCTCCTCTTCCTCCTCTTTCTTTTCAAAAAGATAGCTCATGGTTTCGGATGCGGTGCAGTCCAGCCCTGGTTCCCAGCAAGTCTCATCCATGCTTGCTCAGGGAACCATTTCCCCTCCTGTCCTACAAATTCTGTAACAAAACAATGTATTTGCTTTGTAGGATTTGCTAGAGCTTCTCATTTAGACAGGCAGAACTTGGCAGAAGACCAAAGGGTTCCTTCCGATCTCTCAGAGGCTTCCTGAGAGCACAGATGGATGAGCAAGAGTCGGCTGGCCCTGAAGCAGGAAGAGGCCATGCCAGCCAAATTAGGAGCAGTGGAGAATTCTGGGAAAACCCAGTGCAGAAGATCCTGGGTGAGGAGGACACTCTATGCTCAGAGGTGCAGAGCCAGCAGTTGAGGCAGTTCTGCTGCCAGGAGGCCAAAGGACCCCGAGAGGTTTGCAGCCGACTCTACCACTTTTGCCACCAGTGGCTGAAGCCGGAAAGGCACACGAAAGCTGAGATGCTGGACCTGGTGATCTTGGAGCAGTTCCTGGCTGTCCTTCCCCTGGAGATGGAGAGTTGGGTGAGGGAATGCGGAGCGGAGACCAGTTCCCAGGCGGTGGCCCTGGCTGAAGGTTTTCTCCTGAGTCAGGCAGAGGAGAGAAAGCAGGTGAGAGAGACTTTCCTCTGGATACGCCCAAGGGGCTCCAAACAGGACAGAGAACATCCCATAATGGTCTGCTGATGGCTCATTCGTTTTCTGGGAAAGCATCTATGGAATTACATTTCACACCCTTCAAGTCTTTGTCATTCTCTTTCTAATATTTCTCACCATTCTCTGTTTTGAATCCTTGTTTATTTTCAGGGAAAGGATCTCTTTGCAGAAATGGACTTGGATTCCTGTGAGGCAGAGAGGCCTCCGTTGGACACCAGAGAGAGGCCACTGGGTAGGGAGGAAGATGGTTTTTCTCTGTCTGGTCTCATTCTGTTGGTTTTCCAACTCATCTGGGGGTTCTATTCATCTTGTTTTGGAGGGAAACAGTTGGGAACAAGGGTCCATAGGAGGGGAGATGTATTTCTGCACAACTAACATATGAAATGGGCACAAACGTCCAAATGCTCTCAGCAGGTAAGGCTTTCTCAAAGGCCCATCTGTAGTTAGAGATGCCCTGTTTCACCTGTGAGAGAAGCCGGCACTCCTGGCGTCCTGGTTACCTTTTATCTCTTGCAGGTGACAGAGTGATCCCAGGAAGACTTCCTGATCCATCTTTTCATGGGGGCAGAAGGGAAGCAGCGGCTGTGGAACCAGATCAGGTCAGGGGAAGTCAAAGGAAGTCAAAGTCAAAGGGGGAAGAGAGATAAGCCTGGGAAGAGGAGGTGTCAGAAGCTAAAGGGGTTAAAGGCCTTAGCGAGCTGGGAGACACTGTGGCAGAATGCAGTGCAGAATCACAGGCAGAAGAGGAAGGAGGCGAGTGGGAGGAGGGAGGTCGAGAGGCAGAGGTGAGTCAGGAGAAGGAGGAGCCACAAGTGGCTCCCTCTCCTTTTGCCAGAAGCCACCCTCCCTGCTTGTCTCTCAGAGCCAGGAGACCCCCTGCAATGCAGAAATCTCTGCTAGATCATCCAAGACAGATGGCCATCCAACAGAGGCTTATTTGATTTCTATATAGATCACTGAATGCTCAGATTGGTTTCTAAGCAGTGGACAAATGAGAACAAATAGTGGCCTGGATTCACCTAACCAGCCCCATTGGCTGCAAAATGGGACTTGCCCCCCATTCCTCCCGCTCTATGCCCCCATGAACCCCTAGAATTTGGCTCTAGGGCATTAGGAGGGAACTCCCCAGAACAGCTCAGGAGGAGAGGAGAAAGTGGACCCTTCCATCAGGCAAACTGGAATGCTTGCGTAGGCAGAATGACTTGGAAAACACAAGGTGTAGTACCACCTATATGCACAAAGACGAATTCCCATAATTAAAACTCAGAATAAAATAAGCATCCATAAATAAAATGTGCAGCAAAGCAATCCTATTGAAACAACTCCCTGCGTGAGTGCCTGAGGGCCCTGCTCCTGCCACTCACCACCTGGCCCAGGGCGGGACCTGAAGCCTCATAAGGACGGTTGCTGCTGCTGCTGCTGCTGCTGGCCAGGAGGACTCGGAGCAGTGCAATGTTCTTTTTAAAATGACTTGACCTGGCATGTGTAACAGAGACTTGGTTGGCTGAAGCAGATGGGCCTGTCCTTGCCGCTGCTTGTCCACCAGGTTTCACTTACACACAGCAACCCAGGCCTTGTGGGCGGGGAGGGGGGGTTGCAGTGACATGGTCAGATCACTTCCTGGTGCAACTGAACTTCTCCGCTACCCTTCCCCTCTGCAGGGAGGTGGGACCAATTCGGATGGTCCGCCCCCGCCACTTAATGGATCCAAATGGTTTCCAGAGAGTGGTAGGGGATGCTTTATCCCATGTTGATGGCCTTTCAGCTGATTCCCTGGTGGCCTGCTGGAACGCGGAGTTAACCAGGGGTATTGACTGTTTGGCTCCGAAGCGCCCTCTCCGATTGCATGGAGCCCAGACAGCCCCGTGGTTTTCCACGGATCTGAGTGAACAATCGCTGAGATGGCTAGAGCTCTGGTGGCAGATAACTCATTCTGAAGCTGACCAGACACGGGTTAGAGCTCAATGTTGAGCCTACCAAGTGGCGGTAGCAACGGCGAAGAAGACTTTCTTCACCGCCTCAATTGCATCTGCGGAAAACAGCAGCAGGAGACTTTTTCAAGTGGTTTGCAATTTAGTGGAACCACCTGCTACATTGGGGCCCAGTATGGGCCACATGATCTCCTGCAATGATTTTGCAAAGTTTTTTGCAGACAAAGTCGCTCAGATTCAGGAAGAGGTAGACTCCACCGTGGGAGCAGGGCCGGGGCAGGAGAGTGCTAGTGTCCTGTCTAGTCAAGTTGCGTGGGATCAATTCCAATCTGTTACCTCCGAGGAGCTTGGACGAGTGAAACCAACCACCTGTCTCCTTGATCCTTGCCCATCGTGGCTTATAAAAGCTAGCCGGGAAGGGCTGGGCGATGGGCTTTGCGGGGTCGTGAATGCTTCTCTCTGTGAGGGAGCCTTCCCAGACCTGCTGAAAGACCGCTTCTTAAACCGCTTCTTAAAAAACCATCTTTAGATGCTGCCAATATGGCTAACTATCGCCCAGTCTCAAATCTTCCATTCTTGGTCAAGGTGATTGAGCGAGTGGTTGCTGAACAACTCCAGGCATGCCTGGAAGAAGCGGACCATTTGGATCCCTTCCAGTCAGGATTCAGGCCTCATCATGAGACTGAAACTGCCTTGGTCTGGGCTAGGGACAAAGGTGAGAGCTGTTTCCTAGTTCTGCTGGATCTCTCAGTGGCGTTTGATACCATCGACCATAACATCCTTCTGGACTGTCTTGAGGGGCTGGGAGCTGGGGGCACTGTCATACAGTGGTTCCGCTCCTTCCTCCTGGGCCGTGTTCAGAAAGTGGTGGTGGGGGATGAGTGTTCAGACCCCTGGGCTCTCACTTGTGGGGTCCCTCAGGGTTCTGTCTTCTCCCCCATGCTTTTCAACATCTACATGCAGCCGCTGGGAGAGATCATCAGGGGGTTTGGGCTGGGTGCTCATCAGTATGCGGATGACACACAACTCTACCTCTCTTTCAAATCGGAACCAGTGAAGGCAGTGAAGGTCCTCTGTGAGTGTCTGGAGGCAGTTGGAGGATGGATGGCGGCTAACAGATTGAGGTTGAATCCTGACAAGACAGAAGTACTGTTTTGGGGGGACAAGAGGCAGGCAGGTGTGGGGGACTCCCTGGTCCTGAATGGGGCAACTGTGCCCCTGAAGGACCAGGTGCGCAGCCTAGGAGTCATTCTGGACTTGCAGCTGTTCATGGAGGCACAGGTCAATTGTGTGTCCAGGGCAGCTGTTTATTAGCTCCATCTGTTACGCAGGCTGAAACCCTACCTGCCAGCAGACTGTCTCACCAGAGTGGTGCATGCTCTGGTTATCTCTCGCTTGGAGTACTGCAATGCGCTCTATGTGGGCCTATCTTTGTTTTTTGTTTTTTTAAATGATATTTATTATAATTTTAAAATTTGCAGAAAAAAGAAGAAAAGAAAACCACAAAAATTACAATACATAAAAAAGTAAAACATAAAAACCAATAAAACAATACAGCAAAAAAGAACAATAACATTAAAACACACATCCAATATTCCATATCTTTATCTTTCATTTGCTTGTTTCATTGACCTCCTCACATCTCCCTTTCTGTATTCTAGTTTAATTAATTGTTTCAGCAAATTCTTTCCATCTTTCTCAATTTTGTTGAATAATTTATCTTAACGGTCTAAACCTATTAATTAACTCAGCAAATCCTTTCCATCTTTCACTATATTCTGTCATTCAGTTTACCTTAATTTATTTTAACCTTATCTTACCATAAAATACCTTAAAACTTAAAACTTAATACTTATTTATACATAACTCATTATATCATTTCTACTAAAGCAAAATAGTTTCATTCCAACATTTTTCCTAACACTTATTAATTTTACACTAATTCTCAAAATAAATTTTTAAGAACTTTCTTCCAATCTTCATCCAGCGTCTCTTCTTCCTGGTCTCGGGTTATGTCAGTCCTTACTGTCCGTTCCATCTAGTCCATCAACCTGGTGATCTTATCTCCGAGGCTCTTAAGTCTTTTCCATGTCCCTTCTGCAGATCTTCTTCTTGTTTATACCTGCACTTTACCTTGTCTTTTGTTGATCTTTTTCTTAATTTCTTTCCTTTCTCATTGAGGAGTAGGTCTCGGGGAGACTCCAACCCAAGAATATCTCAGTCTCCCCTCCACAGATCAGCCCATTCTCCACAGTCAACACTGTAGTCCAGAAAGTATTTAAAAGCATGTTTCAAAATCCCTCCAAAGTTAGGAGCCCCCACAACTCCAGACCCCCCCTGGCCCTATGTGGGCCTATCTTTGAAGGTGACCCTTAAACTACAACTAATCCAAAATGCGGCAGCTAGACTGATGACTGGGAGTGGCCGAGACCACATAACACTGGTCCTGAAAGACCTGCATTGGCTCCCAGTATGTTTCCGAGCACAATTCAAAGTGTTGGTGCTGACCTTTAGAGCCCTAAATGGCCTTGGTCCAGTATACCTGAAGGAGCGTCTCCACCTCCATCGTTCTGCCCAGACACTGAGGTCCAACGCCAAGGGCCTTCTGGCGGTTCCCTCGCTGCAAGAAGCCAAGTTACAGGGAACCAGGCAGAGGGCCTTCTTGGTAGTGGCACCCGCCCTATGGAATGCCCTCCTACCAGATGTCAAAGAGAAAAATAACTACCAAACTTTTAGAAGACATCTAAAGGCAGCCCAGTTTAGGGAATCTTTTAATGTTGAATAGATTATTGTATTTTAGTGTTTTGTTGGAAGCCGCCCAGAGTTCAGGCTGGGGAAACCCAGCCAGATGGGCAGGGTATAAATAAATTATTATTATTATTATTATTATTAACAGGAAAGAAACAATATAGCTTTGTGTAGCAAATCATATTTCTGCTGTCTCAGAGGAGGACATTTCCCTTTTCCATTTAGGGTCCAGTGTGCTTTGAAGATGTTGCTGTTCGTTTCACGGACATGGAGTGGGTGTTGCTGGATCCTGACCAGAGAGCTCTGCATAAGGACGTCATGGAGGAGAATTGTGGGATATTGGCCTCTCTTGGTAAGGCTCCCTGTGGGATCGTCAGATCTGCCTGGAAATTCAAAAAATACCTCTATGGGACCAACCTCATACATTTTTACAGAGCTCAACAGCGCCCCCTATAACACCTGGGAACCTAACACCCCCACAATAAAGAGTAAATTACAGTTTTTTCTTTGAACAGTCTTCCTCAAATTATTCCTTTTACTACCACAATTGGGCTGGTCTGAACTTCCCAGGCCATCTTCAATGTCAGCTTCAGAATTGTTAGGAAAGCTAAGTAGCTTCAGGTTTTTGTTTTTGTTGCTGTCAGTCTTGGGTTGACCAAAGAGACGACTGGCAGCGAAGCTCAGGTGCTGCCAGCCAGAGAAGAAGCAGGCCTAGGGAGAGGAGAGTTAGCAGCGGAAGGCAGAGAGGAGGGGGAGAGGAACTGTCATCTGAGCTCTGAACAAAGGGGAGAAGAAAAAGAGAGACAAGAGTGGCAGACAGCTGTGTGAGAGCTACAGGAGTGAGCCAGACGCTGGAATGCAGGAAGCATTCTCTGCCAAATTTAAAGATACTGGAAGAGAAGGTGGGGGCTTCCGTGCTGGGGAAGGGGGAGGAGCTGAGTCCGGGCAACTCCATCTTGTGGGGAGGACGATGAGTAGAGGAGCTCTGTCCAAGTTTGTTGTTTTAGCAATAAATCTGAAATTATTAACAGCCAGAGTCGTCTCACGACCAAGCCATAACAAGGACTGACAATGGAGATGGAGGGGATGCCATGACTGGGCCAAACAAAATCCATCCCAGAGAAGAGCTAGGCTTATGGAATCTCAGGTAGCAGTAGCAGTGATGAGGATGAGGATGATACAGTGGTACCTCGGTTTACAAACTTAATTTTTTCCAGAACAGGTAGCACTGTAGTAGTAATAATAATTTTTTGTAATGTCTTGGCTCTCCCACAGAAGCGAGACACTGGCAGTAATTATCTCGGGTTTATTGCTCAAACACATAAATCACTCCGGAGCTCTTTCACTCCGTGTCTGACTTCAAGTTTGCAGTTGCCAAGTCTAAACTCCGCCCCTTCCTCTTCTTCCAAGAGGGGAATAAACCCTTTTGCTCCCGCTCTTTCCCCCTCCTCTTACTGACCTTTTTGCGCCTTCGAGTTTTTGGGCTATTCCTGGCCTTTCCCCTTCTGTCTCTGAGCTAAGATTGGTATTTTGTGGATCTTTGCTATCTGCTGCCTTCTCTCTGTTCTCTGAAACTCTGCCACTCGGCTGCCCCTCCTCCCTCTCACATTCCAGCTCACATTCCAGTGTCCTTATCTCTCTTTGCTTGCTTTCATACATTCCAGCCTATGTCAGCTCCGGAACAAAGCAGTCATTTTTATTTCTACCCTGCCCATCTGGCTGGGTTGCCCCAGCCACTCTGGGCAGCTTCCAACACATATATAAACATGAAACATAAATAATAATATTCTGATCCCATATAAAAAGAACATTAACTTAAAATGAACAACTTACACTGGTGGCCAAAATTGTGGAAACCTTTTGTGAAAAGTGTATTTCTGAGGTTTGATGGCTCATAACACCACTTTTGTGTGGAGTAATACCATAAAATTATATATCAATGGAAAGATAATTTAATTAAGAATGTAATGTAATGACTTTTATGAAGGAGTATTTATTGGAACAGCAGTCATAAAGAAAAAACGTGAAACCTTTGGTAACCATTGGTAACCTTTAGCTTTAATTACGGCCTCACAACGCCTTCCCATGAAGTGAACCAAATTTTTAGTTCTGCACCTGTAAGAATGTGAAACCAAGACTGAATCATTGCCTCTGTTAATTGGGCTTTATTGCTGGGTTGCTTCTAACAAAAAAGTTTCTTTAGTCGGCTCCATAGATTTCTGATTGGGTTAATGTTTGGGCTATTCCCAGGCCCTTACGGCAGTGGAATAGGATTATCTTGAAAGCACCGTTTGCACACAGCAGCAACATGACATGGAGCTGAATCTTGTTGAAATAGAAAAATAAATAAATATGCTTCAGTATCTCTGAAAGATCACCTGCAGAACACTTCAGTTTGGGCTAAAGTATTTCATTTATGTATTCTGGGGCATTTACATTCCCATTAATGACACAAATTCTGCCCACACCTTTTGCTGCCATACAACCCCAGATCATCACACTATCTGGGTGTTTCACGGTCGGTATAATGCAAGTAGGATGTAAATCTTCTCTGATTCTTCTCCTCGCGTATTTCATGCCATCACTACCAAGCAAGGAGATTTGGCTCTCATCCCTCCAAATAACACTGTCCCATTGTTCCACTGTCCACTTAACAAGGGTTTAGTCATGGCGTGGTGTAGTGGTTAAGAGCGGTAGACTCGTAATCTGGTGAACCGGGTTCGCGTCTCCGCTCCTCCACATGCAGCTGCTGGGTGACCTTGGGCCAGTCACACTTCTCTGAAGTCTCTTAGCCCCACTCACCTCACAGAGTGTTTGTTGTGGGGGAGGAAGGGAAAGGAGATTGTTAGCCGCTTTGAGACTCCTGAAGGGGAGTGAAAGGTGGGATATCAAATCCAAACTCTCCTCCTCCTCCTCCTCCTCCTCCTCCTCCTCCTATCTTTTCAAACTTTGCTTGAGAGATAGCAATGGCTTTTTCCTTAGAACTCTAACATTTAGACCAGTCCTTGCACTCAACTTCACATTACATTGTGCCATGTCATCTTGTATACACCCAGATAATATTCTTCTGTCATGTAGGGACAGTCTCTCCATTCTTCAATCGTCACTTGCCTTTGTGCACCTTTTCCTGCCTTTACCGGTCTGATTTTGTTGTCACTGAGTCTCCTTATACCTCTTCCAAAATATAGAAATGCCAGCTTTGGTTAAGTTTTCCCCAATCTTTCTTCTAATTTCTTCATAACTGTAGCCCTGTTCACTTAATAGTACAATTTTACATCGCTTTCTGGGTGACCAGTCAACTCTTTGTGCCATTTCTATAATTTTATTATGTTTTACAACCTCACTAAATGAAAGAAGACAGAAAACCAACCAACTTGTTAGCAATCACGTAACACACTGACAAAAGTCAACCTAAGCAAGTTGTGCTTCCTTTTTCTGGTTATTTGGCTATAATGTTTCATAGAATATGGATAATTAAACAAACTTTGTTGAATTGCATTCTTGATTAAATTATCTTTCCATTGATATATAATTTTATAATATTACTCCAAAAGAATCAGAGTTTTTGCCATCAAACCTCTGAAATACACTTTTCTCCAAAAGGCTTCCGCAATTTTGACCACTACTGTATATCAAACAAAGCAACATTCAACAACTCATCAGAATATAATAATAAATATGTTGGTTAATGACAAACAACACAGGTAATGAACACAAGCCCAACTTCCTTCAGTTCTTCTCCATTTGTTCATGAGTGTCTAACCCATTTTTGTCTCCATTGCAGATTGTAATGAATCGGAAATCGAGAACAAAGGTGACCAAGATAAAATCCCCAGAGAGGAGATGCCACGTAAAAATTTAGAGTGTGGAGAAAGCTGTAGTCAGAGCTCCCATTCCACTTCCCATCAACAAAATCTCATCGGAAAGAAACCATATCAGTGTGTGGAATGTGGAAAGAGCTTCAGTAAGAAGGACAGTCTTACTTCCCATCAAAGAATTCATACAGGGGAGAAACCCTATCAGTGTGTGGAATGTGGAAAGAGCTTCAGGAGGAAGGACATTCTCACATTTCATCAAAGAATTCATACAGGGGAGAAACCCTATCAGTGTGTAGAATGTGGAAAGAGCTTCAGTCACAGCTTCAGTCTCACTTCCCATAAGCGAATTCATACAGGGGAGAAACCCTATCAGTGTGTGGAATGTGGAAAGAGCTTCAGGCACAGCTCCGGTCTAACTTCCCATAAGCGAATTCATACAGGGGAGAAACCCTATCAGTGTGTAGAATGTGGAAACAGCTTTAATCACAGCCATAGTCTCACTTCCCATCAAAGAGTTCATACAGGGGAGAAACCCTATCAGTGTGTAGAATGTGGAAAGAGCTTCAGGAAGAGCTGCGATCTCACTTGCCATCAAAGAATTCATACAGGGGAGAAACCCTATCAGTGTATGGAATGTGGAAAGAGCTTCAGTCAGATCTCCCATCTCACTTGCCATCAAATAATTCATACAGGGGAGAAACGCTATCAGTGCTTTGAATGTGGAAAGAGCTTCAGTCACAGCCACAGTCTCACTTCCCATCACAGACTTCATACAGGGGAGAAACCCTATGAATGTGTGGAATGTGGAAAGAGCTTCAGGAAGAGCTCCCATCTCACTTCCCATCAAAGAATTCATACAGGGGAGAAACGCTATCAGTGCATGGAATGTGGAAAGAGCTTTAGTCACAGCCAGAGTCTCACTTCCCATCACAGAGTTCATACAGGGGAGAAACCCTATGAATGTGTGGAATGTGGAAAGAGCTTCAGGAAGAGCTCCCATCTCACTTCCCATCAAAGAATTCATACAGGGGAGAAACCCTATCAGTGTATGGAATGTGGAAAGAGCTTCAGGAAGAGCTCCAATCTCACTTCCCATCAAAGAGTTCATACAGGGGAGAAACCCTATCAGTGTGTGGAATGTGGAAAGAGCTTCAGGAAGAAGGACCAACTCACTTGCCATCAAAGAATTCATACAGGTGAGAAACCCTATCAGTGTGTGGAATGTGGAAAGAGCTTCAGTCGGCGCTCCTCTCTCACTTCCCATCAAAGAATTCATACAGGGGAGAAACCCTATCAGTGTGTAGAATGTGGAAAGAGCTTCAGTCAAAGCTTCAAACTCACTTCCCATAAAAGAATCCATACAAAGGTCGGGAAAACCATTATACAGCTTTAAGAGCCAAGAAATCCGCACCTTTATTACCTGGCCTTTGGCTGATTGACATCTAATGCCTTTTTAACATGTGGTGTTTTGTGTTTGTATGTTGTAACCATCCTGAGATCTGTAGGTATAGGAATAGGCGCCAATGCTTAAAGACCTAGGCGTCTCCCCCCCCATAAAATATTTAAGGAGGCCTGTGGGGTTTGCCCTCCTAGGCGTGTGACATCATACTGGGTCATAATGAAAGGGTTAACTAAGTGTAAAATGATTAACCAATAGGAACCCAAGGAGAGGAGTTAGAGTTGTTAGGAAGTGAATCTGGAGTTAGAGAAGGGAGAGGGAGGATAAGTCTGTGGGTTGGGCTAGTCTGATATGAGAGAGTGAGAGAATCTGTTAAGAGGAGTCAGTTAAACAGCTGGGATAATCAGTTAGAAGGTATTAGGAAGGTATAGGCCGGTAAAGAAACTAAGGTTAAGAAACTGACAAGAAAAATTATCTGAAACCATAAACTTGTTAATGCTTATAAAATAAACTTGTTTATTTGGTTTAATGTTAACAACTGTCTGGACTCAGTGTGTACCCGAGAGAAATGGGTTGGTGGCAGCGGGAAAGCGATCACAGTGGTGGCACAGGTATCAATAGGCCGTCAAACGTCTGGGGACCCTGTGTGGTCGCCACAAGGCCACCTCCCAGGTTATTTTGGTTTTTTTCCAAACGCAACCTTTTATTCTTCTGCAACTTGCCATACAATTTCTCTTTCAATTTGCCCTCTTAAAAAATAAAAAAATAAACGCACAAAGGTCACGAAGAAAACAAAATACAAGAAAATACAAACGTGGACAGGTCCCATCTTTCCGGGCAAAACGCAAAAGTTTCTTTAAAAGAGGCTTTCCCAAACTTGGGTCCCCAGCAGCTCCCGGACTACAGCTCCCATCATCCCTCCCTATTGGTCCTGCTAGCTAGGGATGATGGGAGCCGTAGTCCAAAACCAGCTGGAGACCCAAGTTTGCTTTAAAGGGAAAGTAGGCTGGCCCTGTGACACCCTCTGCTGCACAAAAGCACTGCCCCAGAATCTGAACCACCCCCAGTACTGCTAATTGGAATTTAAAGAGCTCAAAACTGAAGTTTGATCGGCACGTCAACCTCTAGGGAGCTTCTAGGTGCTTTCTGCGCCACCTAGAGTACCCACAGAATTGTGGCTTGTACTGGCAACACACAGAGGAGAACAAATGAAAGACAAACACAATGAACAGGCAAAAACCTGGAAAGGGCCATACCAAATGGAGATCCGGGGTGAAGAGGTCACTTTCCCCACTCCTGAACAATGCCACAGGTAGAGGAGATGTAATGCTAAAAGTGTCTCTGGGGCATGGGGAGCTGCTGGGAAAGTGAAGTACGGGCTCAAAATATTACTGTTTTAAAAGGCAGCTTCCTGGCAGCTCTGCATCACCTGGAGCAAGAAATCTTGTTTCTGGCTCCAGCAAAAGTCAGGCTGTCAGTTCCTCACAACTGAGAGTCCTGGCAGCGGGGAGCAGGTCTTTGGGATCCTCTCCCTCATAGCTGTCAACTTTTTCCTTTTGTTGCAAGGAATCCTATTCAGAATAAGGGAATTTCTCTTCAAAAAAGGGAAACGTTGACAGCTATTCTCTCCCTACTCTTGTTTCCTCCAATACTCACCATTGCTGGATGACGAAAGCCTGTGGCACATCTTCAAGAAGAGAAAAACAAGTAATAAATGAAATAAGAAGCAAAATAAGAAACTGAGAAAATAAGAATCCACTGTTTGCCTCGCCTTGTCCTCTGTCAACTGCCACCAACTGCTCTCTCCTCCACTTGCCTCACTGCTAACCCAAAATGGCCGCCTGCAAGTCTGTGGCTTTTACCGGTCCTTGTCACCGTGGCAACCCCCCTCCCCCTGGACCTAGGCCCACCTGGCTCCACCTATTGGGAGATGATCTATAATGAAATGAAAAAAACGTTTTAAGATAACCTTTGTTAAAAGATCAGAAGCATTTTTATTAGGTACTTTAGGGAAGGATTTACCAAAAGATAAGGAAAATCTATTCATGTATGTGACAACAGCGGCCGGAATTTTACTAGCTCAAAATGGAAAGGCAATCAAAAACCAGCGAAAGAACACTGGCAAGAAAAGTTGATGGAATAGGCTGAAATGGCGAAGCTAACTGAAAGACTTAAAGATAAGGGCAATAATGACTTTTTAAAAGATTGGGAACCTTTTAAGATGTATATACAGAAACAATGCATAGAAATGAACTCACTGGCAGGATTTGAGTGATACACTTACAATGGAAAAATACAAACAGAAAATGCAATTATGAGGTAAAAATGAGAAGGAAGAGACAAATGTTATAACCTTCATTTTAATTTATAAGGAATACAAATTTATAAGCAAAAGAAACAGAGATGTTACAAACCAGGAAGGGAAGTTGGGGGAATTCGCATGGCGGGGGGGTGTTAATTGAAATTGTAAAATGAAATTTGAATTTTTGATTATGTTAAAATTTCTTTAATTAAGTTATATATTTTTTTAAAAAAGCAAAAAAAGCAATGGTTCCTCTTACTTAAGGGCCCCACAGACCTCATGGGACACCAGAGCAGATTCCTTTGTTGCTTTTTTGAGTCAACCAGCAATGGGGGTTGCATTTCCTTATTTACAGGAGGGCTGTTGCTAAAGCACATGACATGCTCTTCACACTTAGTTATCTATTAGGAACACGGGCACAAATTATTGTATGTGTGTTTGTATCTGCAAACTACCCCAGTCTCTGAGTGATGAGATTCCAGGGGTCCCAGGCGCTTCCCCATCTTCGGTTTCCTTGGAACGAAAGTCAGCGGAGACTGTGGCGTCTTTACGATATCTAGTTTTATTTACTCGCATACACAATCGGAGTGTAGGACGGAGGGGCTCACAGCATCAACACACAAACAGATCTTGCTTCTCTATTAGTCGCAGCTTTGGATCCGGCACAGAGCAAGCTGGTTTCGGGGTTTCCCACAACTCTCTCTGGGTCTTGCTTTCCTACCTAGCAGTCAGGTGAGATGGGAGGGGGGAGGACGGCCCCCCCATTAGCTGCAGCTCTTGCAACCCAGCTCCTTCATTGGGAATGCTGAGGAGGACACTCTATGGCCAACGAAGGCCCTTGTCTTGCCAAGAAACTTGTCTGTGGGAATCGTGCATCCATAATGCTATGGAAAGGGTGAATGTCTTCTAGAATTCTCTGGTGTCACCAGAAGAGGAAGCCGTTCTTTTCAGTTAGGTCTGTTCTCAACTGCAGAGGATGAGTAGCCTTGGGAGCCTCTTGGGGAGATGGAAGTGATGAAAGGACTGAATCCATGAGGGAGAGCTACTTGCTCTGAGATGGGGGGACCTTCAGGCAAAGGCCAGCAGAGAAGGGATGCTGTTGGCTGCTGGTTTCTGTTCCTCCCCACTTTCCCAAAGGGCGTAACATCAGAGGTACTGCGGGAGGAAAGAGCATCTCAGAGTCAGGGGGCAGTCTGGGCCAAAGCGGCCCCCACTGCCCCCACCACGGAGTCCCTGGCACTCCTGAACCATGAAGGCTGCAGATTTTGGTCTTGGACCAAATTAGGGGCCAAACTGTCGGTATTTCATTCTCCCAAAGCTAGTGTAACATGATATCCATGTTTACATTTTCTGTACTGTCTGTGTAAGAATGGAAGTCAATCTGTAAATCACTTCTGGCCTTTGTACTCTTCTACTCTGACCGAGGAGGAGACGGCTGTGGAAGACAGCTCACGCCATGTTTCTTTGTTATTTACCGCTGTAAATAAAGCTTGATGTCACATTCCAACACAGTTTGCAGCACATCTGCAAAGAGAAGGACATGGGGACAGGTGAGTCCGTCCCTGAACACCTGGCAAGGCTATTCCAAGAGTTTTCTCCTGGATTCCAAGTCCTACTACAGGGGAGGAGGGACATCCCAGGCCTTGGGGGCAAATCCTGGCCTCCTTCTACCAGAATGTGGCTCCCCACGCTAACGAAACGCTATTAGCAACCTTACGCTATTAGCTATTTCGAAAACGCTATTTCGAAAGGAGAACACTCACCTGATCAATACAATAAATGATAATAATAATAATATTTATACCCCGCCCATCTGGCTGGGTTGCCCCAGCCACTCTGGGCGGCTTCCAACAAAATATTAAAATACAGTAGTACATCAAATATTAAAAGCTTCCCTAAACATAATAACAACAACCATCCATTTTCAGTCCTTTGAATTAGCAATTGAGCATTTCTGGAAAGGGAAATAGCATACTTTTGTATATTAGTATAAAAAGCATACTTAAGAAAGTATTACTCATTTATGATGAGAATAGGATTTATTTCTTTTGAACCTCGCTTGGTTCCTCCTTGGTAGCCAGTGCGATTGTTTCAGCGGGTATAGAACTCAGGACCCGCTGCCTTGAGGGACATCTAAGAGCAGTTGGGCAGGGGAAAGGTCTCCCTTGGGAGGTGGTGGACTCTCCTTCCTTGGAGGTTTCTAAGCAGAGATTGGACGGCCATCTGCCATGGATGCTTTAGCGGAGATTCCTGCATTGCTGGGGGTTGGACTAGATGACCCTGGGATCCCCTCCTATCTCTCCACTCCTGAATTCCAGAAGGAGCTTCCTTGCCTCCTGCAAAGCCCTTTTCCCTGCAAGCTCTTCCTCTGGCTTCCGCCCAAGGGAGGGAGATGCTCAGTGTCCAGCCAAGAGCCTCACCCCCAAAGGATATCTGGGCATTGGCGTAGCCAGGGGGGCAGCTGCCCCCCTAAATCCATAAAAAATAATAGAAATCTGAGGTTCTGCCAAGCGAGAGAGGGCTGAGCTGGAGGGACTCGGCTTGGCAAGGGTTAAAGAGAACTGAGCTGCCTTCCTAGAGAGGACAGGAAGCAAGAGGGGGCCAGGTCCTCCAGAGCCAAGGCCCCTCCCTCCCCAGTCCTTCCCTTGCTTTGGGGTCTCTCCTGCAAGGGCTGCCTCGCTGTCCCCTCCTGGGATCTGGTGAGTCTCCTCTCTCTCCCCCCAGAGGGTGCAGTGGGGAGACGGGGGGGGGGGTCCCAGGGCTGCAGCAGGGGAGGATGCCTGGGGGGCCTGATCCGGGAGGGGCCAGGTCTGCCACGCTCTCCTTCCTGGAGATCAGAGGATCCCAAACTCACTTCGCCCTCCGCCCCCCTCCTTCAGAAAATATCTCCCTTCTTTAAAGAAAGGAGTCCCTGGGACTTTAACTCTGTGTGACATCGCTCAGCCTCATTGCACAACAGAGGAAACATGTGCAAATGGTTTTCCAAAGCTGGACTAGGAGGTGGACTAGTCCCCCCCCCCAAAAAAAAGAACAACGGGGAGGAAGGAAGGAAGAAAAGGTGGGAGAGAAAGGGCAGGAACAAAGAGAGGGATCCCAGCCCATAGTCTGGCTGCTGCATTGCGGACCAGTTTCCCAGTCGTCTCTCAGGGCAGCTCCCCACGGAGGCCACTGCAGCAATCCCCTCGCACCCAGAGCATGGCATCCCAGGACCACATCCTCTCTGTCCCAAAGGGATTGTTGCTGGCAAAGCAGCCGGAAATGGGCGCTGCTACTCACCGAGCCTCCAGGGACCTTGGCATCAATGGCTGTGTGTATGTTAAGCTATCTAGCAGAATAATAATAATAATAATAGTAACAATAATAATAAATTACCCAGCTAAATATCAAGGTAGATGTCTTTGGCCTGCTCACTTGGCCCTCAGGGGGTTGATCAGATACATACCTGGCCCTCAGAGCAAATAAAAAGGGACCCCACCCCAGGAGTCTGTCTGGAGAGCGGCAGAGAGTCCAAGTGCAAGAAAAGGAGACAGAAGCAGGGGAGTGGGGGGTGGGGGTGGGGAGCAACTCCTGAGGACCCCCAGGTGAGAACGCCCACTAGAGCCAAACATCCGTTTTTCACAAGATACAAACGATTTGCTTGTCAGTCGGTTCTGACTTCATGCATTGACTGGAAGGCAGCAGAAACCAGGTTGATTAATCTCGCAGAAATCCCTTCAGTTGCCTCCACATTTTGCATTGTTAGAAGGCGAGAGACTTATTTCTTCTCCTCTTCCTCCTCTTTCTTTTCAAAAAGATAGCTCATGGTTTCGGATGCGGTGCAGTCCAGCCCTGCTCCCAGCAAGACTCATCCATGCTTGCTCAGGGAACCATTCCCCCCCCCCCCGGCCTACAAATTCTGTAACAGAGCAATGTATTTGCTTTGTAGGATTTCCTTGAGCTTTTCATTACTGCAGACAGAACTTGTCAGAAGATAAAAGGGTTCCTTCCGATCTCTCAGAGGCTTCCTGAGAGCACAGATGGAAGAGCAAGACTCAGCTGGCCCTGGAACAGGAAGAGGCCATGCCAGCCAAACTGGGAGCAGTGGGGGATTCTGGGAAAACCCAGTGCAGAAGATCCTGGGTGAGGAGGGCACTCTCCGCTCAGAGGTGCAGAACCAGCAGTTGAGGCAGTTCTGCTGCCAGGAGGCCAAAGGACCCCGAGAGGTTTGCAGCCGACTCTACCACCTTGACCATCAGTGGCTGAAGCCGGAAAGGCACACGAAAGCTGAGATGCTGGACCTGGTGATCTTGGAGCAGTTCCTGGCTGTCCTTCCCCCGGAGATGGAGAGCTGGGTGAGGGAATGCGGAGTGGAGACCAGTTCCCAGGCGGTGGCCCTGGCCGAAGGTTTCCTCCTGAGTCAGGCAGAGGAGAGAAAGCAGGTGAGAGAAACTTCCCTCTGGATACTCCCAAGGGGCTCCAAACAGAACAGAGAACATCCCATAATGGTCTGCTGATGTCCCATCTGTTTTCTTGGAAAGCATCTATGATATCCCATCTGTCCCATGATAATAATAATAATAATAATAATAAATTTTATTTATATCCCGCCCTCCCCAGCCAAAGCCAGGCTCAGGGCGGCTAACAACAAACAAATAATCAAACAATCAAATAATCAACATTCTAAAACATTTCATTATAAAATTAATTAAAATCAAATTAATGGCAACCGTTAAGCAAAGTTCTGTGCAGGTTGCCGGAGGTGGGAGTCAGGCTGGGCCCTGACCAAAGGCCTGGTGGAACAACTCTGTCTTGCAGGCCCTGCGGAAAGATGTCAGGTCCCGCAGGGCCCTAGTCTCTTGTGACAGAGCGTTCCACCAGATTGGAGCCGCAGCCGAGAAAGCCCTGGCTCTAGTTGAGGCCAGCCTAACCTCTCTGAGGCCTGGGACCTTCAGGATGTTTTTATTTGCAGACCGTAGGTTCCTCTGTGGGGCATACCAGGAGAGGCGGTCCCGTAGGTACGAGGGTCCTAGGCCGTATATGGAATGAGATCTCACACTCTTCAAGTCTTTGCCATTCTCTGTCTAATATTTCTCACCATTCTCTGTTTTGAATCCTTGTTTCTTTTTCAGGGAAAGGATCTCTTTGCAGAAATGGACCTGGATTCCTGTGAGGCAGAGAGGCCTCCGTTGAACACCAGAGAGAGGCCACTGGGTAAGGAGGAAGGTGGCTTTTGACCTGTTTGGCCTCATTCTGTTGGTTTTCCAACTCATCTGGGGTTCTTTTCATCTTGCTTTGGGGGGAGACAGTTGGGAAGAAGGGTCCAGAGGAGGGGAGATGTATTTCTGCACAACTAACATATGAAATGGGCACAAACGTCCAAATGCTCTCAGCAGGTAAGGCTTTCTCAAAGGCCCATCTGTAGTTAGAGATGCCCTGTTTCACCTGTGAGAGAAGCAGGCACTCCTGGCGTCCTGTTTACCTTTGATCTCTTGCAGGTGACAGAAGGATGCCAGCAAGACTTCCTGATCCGTCTTTTCATGGGGACAGAAGGGAAGCAGCGGCTGTGGAACCAGATCAGGTCAGGGGAAGCTGCCTTGTGGGGACAGAGGCCGAGGGATGGAGCAATGTCATGGACTGGTTGGGCACAGAGGAATGGTGGGAGGAAGCAGCTGGGGAACCTGGAAGGGAAGATGGCTGAGAGCCCAAGAAGTAGAGGTAGAAGAAGGACTGGCGGTCAGAGGGAGAAGAGGGAGAAGGCTGGGAAGAGGAGGTGTCAGAAGCTGAAGGGGTTACAGCGGTTAGTGAGCTGGGAGACACTGTGGCAGAATGCAGTGCAGAATCAGAGGCAGAAGAGGAAGGAGGCGAGTGGGAGAGGAAGGTCGAGAGGCAGAGGTGAGTCAGGAGAAGGAGGAGCCACCGGTGGCTCCCTCTCCTTTTGCCAGAAGCCACCCTCCCTGCTTGTCTCTCAGAGCCAGGAGACCCCCTGCAATGCAGGAATCTCTGCTAGATCATCCAAGACAGATGGCCGTTCAAAATAGGCTTATTTTATTTCTAGAATGATCACTGAATGCTAAAATTGGTTTCTAAGCAGTGGACAAATGAGAACAAATAGTGGCCTGGATTCACCTAACCAGCCCCATTGGCTGCAAAATGGGACTTGCCCCCCATTCCTCCCCCTCTCCATGCCCCCATGAACCCCTGGAATTTGGCTTTGGGGCATTGGGAGGGAACTCCCCAGAACAGCTCAGGAGGAGAGGAGAAAGTGGACCCTTCCATCAGGCAAACTGGAATGCTTGTGTAGGCAGAATGACTTGGAAAACACAAGGTGTAGTACCACCTATATGCACAAAGACGAATACCCATAATTAAAACTTAGAATAAAATAAGCATCCAGAATTAAAATGTGCAGCAAAGCAATCCTGTTGAAACAACTCCCCCTGCATGAGTGCCTGAGGGCCCTGCTCCTGCCACTCACCACCTTGCCCAGGGCGGGGCCTGAAGCCCCATAAGGACTGCTTGTGCCCAGGAGGACTCCCCTGCATGAGTGTCTGAGGGCCCTGCTCCTGCCACTCACCACCTGGCCCAGGGCAGGGCCTGACAGGCCTCATAAGGATGGTTGTTGTTGCTGCTGCTGCTGCTGCTGCTGGCCAGGAGGACGCAATGTTCTTTTAAAAATGTTTATAAAATTTTCTTTTTTCCCTTTTGATTACTTTTTTTGTGGGGGGTGGCATGGATGTTTGGTTGGGTTCGGGAATTAGATTTTTTTTTTATAAGGGTTTTATTTTGTTCTTAAGGGGAGGGGTCAGGGCTGCCAGGTAGTGGGTCCCAGCCCACAAAATAGCTGGGGCATGTTCCAACGGGGGGGGGGGGGATGCACTGGGACAACCGATCTCAGTGATCACGGGTAGGAGGAGGAGGTACGCTAAGACCAGACCATGTCATTACAGAGGAGGCAGGTTTAGTCGTTGTTTGAGGACTATCCCTGCCTCTGGGTCTGGTCCTGACTGGACGGATACTAGAATCAGCAAGGGATACCCACATGACCTGAAGGTGCTGCTGTTCAATGCCAGGTCAATGATTCATAAAACCACTGCCATCCATGACTTGATCATGGATGGAGGACTTGACCTGGCATGTGTAACAGAGACTTGATTGGCTGAAGCAGATGGGCCCTCTTCGATTGCATGGAGCCCACTCAGCCCCGTGGTTTTCCATGGATCTGAGGGCAATGAAACAATCGCTGAGATGGCTAGAGCGCCGGTGGCGGATAACTCATTCTGAAGCTGACCGGACACGGGTTAGGGTTCAATGTCGAGCCTACTAAGTGGCGGTAGCGACGGCGAAGAAGACTTTCTGCATCTGCAGAAAACAGCAGCAGGAGACTTTTTCAGGTGGTTTGCAATTTAGCGGAACCACCTGCTACAACGGGGCCCAGTATGGGCCACATGATCTCCTGCAATGATTTTGCAAAGTTTTTTGCAGACAAAGTCGCTCAGATCCAGGAAGAGGTAGACTCCACCGTGGAGCAGGGCCGGGGCGGGAGAGTGCTAGTGTCCTGTCTAGTCAAGTTGTGTGGGATCAATTCCAATCTGTTACCTCCGAGAATGTGTATACAGTGGTGCCTCGCAAGACGAAATTAATTCGTTCCGCGAGTTTTTTCGTCTAGCGAATTTTTCGTCTTGCAAAGCACGAAATCCCATAGGAATGCATTGAAATTCAATTAATGCGTTCCTATGGTCAAAAAAAGTCCAATCAAAGCCAAATTTGGTACAACAAGAGTTTATTAACTGCTCTTTAAAGTCACACATACTTTAAAGAGCATATCAAAATTGAAGGAACAATAAATTAAGTTTCTAAACATGACAGGAAAAACATTTAAAAATCAAAAAGGGTACATTACATTTTCTAAGACTCTGGGGACCACTCGAAGAAGGTTCCTCTTCCACTCTTTGCTTCTTGCTGAGGAACCTGTCCATGGTCTGCTGCTTCATCCGCCTTTTCAGCAGCTCCCTGAGAGGCGACATGACCGTCGTATCAAAAATGTTCGCTTGGTCATGTGCCACGTGCTTGTCAGGGTGGTGCCGCTCTGCAAAAGCCTGCACCTCATTCCACTTCTGGCAAATGTCCCTCAGTTCTTTGGAGGACAGCCGTTCCTCAGTTGCTTCCTCCTCTTCCAGCGAGGCCTGCTCCTGCGCAACCTCTGACTGCAGTTCAACCAGCTCCTGGGTGGTCAGCTCGTGGTCGTGCTCCTCCACCAGCTCGCAAACGTCCTCCTCTGTGACCTCCAGGCCCATGGTCCTCCCCAAGGCAACAATGTCCTGCACCACTGTCGACTCTGGTGCATCAGAGTCACTTGGTGCCACACAGTCCGGCCACAGGCTGCGCCAAGCGCAATTCAAATTCCTCTGGCTGATCCCCTTCCAGGCCGTGGTGATCATCTTCAAGCAGGTGACGATGTCGAAGTGGTCCTTCCAGAATTCCCGCAGGGTGATGGTGGTGCAATCAGTCACCTCGAAGCATCGCCTGAAAAGCTCCTTGGTGTAGAGTTTCTTGAAATTGGCGATGACCTGCTGATCCATCGGCTGGAGCAGTGGCGTGGTGTTAGGCGGCAGGAACATGATGTTGATGAAGCTGAACTCCTCCAACAAGTCCACCTCAAGGCCTTTAGGATGAACAGGAGCATTGTCCATCAGAAGCAAAGCCTTCAGCGGCAGGTCGTTGTCCAGCAGGTACTGTTTGACAGCAGGGCCAAAGGCAAGATTGACCCAGTCCACAAACAGCACACGTGTGACCCAAGCCTTGCTGTTGGATCGCCACATGACACTCAGCCGCTCCTTGTCGACCTTGTGTTTCTTGAAGGCCCGTGGGTTCTCCGAGTGGTACACCAGCAGGGGCTTGATCTTCAGGTCGCCGCTTGCGTTGGCACAGAAGAGCAGGGTCAGACGGTCCTTCATGGGCTTGTGGCCAGGCAACTTGGCCTCCTCCTGTGTGATGAAAGTCCTTTTGGGCATCCTCTTCCAAAACAGCCCGGTCTCGTCGCAGTTGAAGACCTGCTGTGGAACGTAGCCCTCCGTCTTCACAACCTCCAGGAACTCCAAGGCAAAGTCTTCAGCCGCAGGAACATCAGAACTGGCAGCCTCCATGCCTGACCATGCTATGGATTCCGGATCTTGCCTTGAACCGGTCAAACCAGCCTCTGCTTGCCTTGAAGACTTCTGGCTCGGCCGAGGTTCCTGGCTGTTCCTGGATGAGGTCTGCGTGCAAGGCCTTGGCCTTCTCACAAATCACGGCCTCAGTCACTGTGTCCCCTGCACGCTGCTTCTCTTCTATCCAGATGAGGAGCAACTTCTCGACCTCCTCCAGAACAGCTGGGCGGTTCTTCACGATCCTGGTGACTCCCTTGGCTGCATCAGTCGCAAGGATCTTCTCCCTCATCTTCAGGATGGTCCCGATGGTCGATGGGTTCCTGCCGTACTCCCTGGCGAGGTCCGTCACACGCATTCCACCGTCGTGCTTCCGGATGATCTCCTTCTTCATCTCCAGCGTCACCTTCTCCTTCTTCCTCTCGCCGGCCTCCGCAGCAGCAGCAGCAGTCTTCTTGGGTCCCATGGCAGCACAGCTGTTACCTTTGTAAACTCAGAAAAAGAAAAAAAATCAGCAATTCAAACCCAACACCAAGTCCTTGAATTCTAAACACCCCAACCCAAAATCCCAAAAACCCAAAAAAAGTTTTAAAAGTTTAACTTACGAAATGGCTGCAAATCACCAAAGTCTTCAAAATCCTCAAATGGCTGCAAAAGAAGTTTTGGGAAAGCTTTAAAAATCACCAAAGTCTTCAAAAACCTCAACTGTTCCCCCCGCCCCTCCCCAGCTGTTGCAAACCCCTCCTCAACTGTTCCCCCAGCCACCCAGCACACAGAAATTCAAAACCCAGAAAATTTTTCAAAAAAAACACAACATGGCCCAATGGTTACAGAAAACCATAAAAATTCAAAAAAAACCACACAAGCTCCCAGATTCGTGCAAACCCCTCCTCAACTGTTCCCCCAGCCACCCAGCACACAGAAATTCAAAACCCAGAATTTTTTTCAAAAAACAACAACATGGCCCAATGGTCACAGAAAACCATAAAAATTCAAAAAAACCACACAAGATCCCAGATTCTTGCAAACACCTCCCCAGCTGTTCCCCCATCCACCCAGCACACAGAAATTTAAAACCCAGAAATTTTTTTCAAAAAAAAACAACATGGCCCAATGGTCACAGAAAACCATAAAAATTCAAAAAAAACCACACAAGCTCCCAGATTCTTGCAAACACCTCCCCAGCTGTTCCCCCATCCACCCAGCACACAGAAATTTAAAACCCAGAAATTTTTTTCAAAAAAAAAACAACATGGCCCAATGGTCACAATGTAAAGCATAAACCATAAAAATTCAAAAAACCACACAAGCTCCCAGATTCTTGCAAACACCTACCCAGCTGTTCCCCCATCCACCCAGCACACAGAAATTTAAAACCCAGAATTTTTTTTCAAAAAAAAACAACATGGCCCAATGGTCACAAAAAATCATAAAAATTCAAAAAAAGCCACACAAGCTCCCAGATTCTTGCAAACACCTCCCCAGCTGTTCCCCCATCCACCCAGCACACCGAAATTAAAAAACCAGAAATTATATTCAAAAAACAACAACATGGCCCAATGGTCACAAAAAATCATAAAAATTCAAAAATAACCACACAAGCTCCCAGATTCTTGCAAACACCTCCCCAGCTGTTCCCCCATCCACCCAGCACACAGAAATTCAAAATTCAAAGCCAGATTTTTTTTTAAAAAAATAAACATGGCCCAATGGTCACAGAAAATCATAAAAATGCAGAAAAAACCACACAAGCTCCCAGATTCTTGCAAACCTCTCCCCAACACCAAGTCCTTGAATTCTAAACACCCCAACCCAAAATCCAAAAAAACCCAAAAAAGTTTTAAAAGTTTAACTTACCAAACAGCTGCAGAAGAAGTTTTGGAAAAGCTTCAAAAATCCAGCAAACTCTTTAAAAAGCTCAGAAAGGCCACCACACCGCGTGCAATGTGTTGCTCCTCGAGGTCAAGTCGCAACTGCACCTCTTCCAGCAATGCACCCTGGGTTTTAACGGTTTTACGAAAAAGGAAACAAACTTGCCCACAAAGACAAATACCCATAATTAAAACGCAGAATAAAATAAGCACCCATAATTAAAATGTGCAGCAAAGCAATCCTATTGAAACAAAACCGCAATTAACAGGAAGGAAACAACAGAGCATTGTGTAGCAGATCATATTTCTGCTGTCTCAGAGGAGGACATTTCCTTTTTCTTTTAGGGTCCAGTGTGCTTTGAAGATGTTGCTGTTCGTTTCACGGACGAGGAGTGGGCGTTGCTGGATCCTGACCAGAGAGCTCTGCATAAGGACGTCATGGAGGAGAATCGTGGAATCGTGGCCTCTCTTGGTAAGGCTCCCTGTGGGATCATCATATCTGCCTGGAAATTCAAAAAATACCTCAATGTGACCAACCTCATCTATTTTCACAGAGCTCAACAGCACCCCCTATAACACCTGGGAACCTAACACCCCCACAATAAAGAGTAAATTACAGTTTTTTCTTTGAACAATCTTGTTAGGTAAGAATTTATTGCTTTACTGTTGTGGTCCGGCACGCTCCCCTGCAACTCTGCAGGTCGTAAAGCAATTAGCAGAATTGCACAGCAGTTCGTGTAGAAAGGGCAGTAAAAGTCCCACACGTTTCTTCTTTCCTAGTAGCACTTTATTTGCTCAAAAATAGCATATTTACAGTTCATATACACCATCTGATTCCAGTTGCATTTTGCGACCTTCTCTCTCAGCTTGCAGCTGCGGAACAAAGCTGCTTTCACTTTTCACTCAGCTCACAGCATTCCAAGCTGTTTTCGTCACGTCCTGGCTTACTTCCCTTGTAAGCGCCTCCTCTCAGCCTCGAGACACAGAAGGTTAACCCTTCACTACACCCAACACCCCCTCTTGTCTCGCGCCTGAGGGGAGAATCGACCCTTGGTCGTCCCAAACCCAGACCTTCACAAAACTCCCCATGTCTTTGGAAGGTGAGTGGCTTCGTGAACCCATCAGCTAGGTTCTTGGCAGAGGGACAATACTTCAGCGCAACTAATCCCTCCTGAACACTCTGGCACACATTCCGAAAGCGAATGTCTAGGTGTTTAGTTCTGGCCTTGAACTGACCTGACTCTGCCAAACGCAGGCATGGTTGATTGTCCTCGAAAACACGTATCGGCAGACAATCCACTTCGCAAAGTTCCTGCACCAAACAAGCATAGAACTCTACTTCTCTGCACATCTCTGAAAGAGCACTAAACTCAGCCTCAGTGGATGAGAGCGCTATCAGACTTTGCTTCTTGGTCCTCCATCCAACTACTGAGTTCCCAAACTTCACCACTAGGCCAGACACAGACTTGCGATCCTCAAGATTAGCCCAATCCGAGTCCACAAAGCAAGTCAGTTTCACTTCTCCTTGTGCTGGCAACCTAAGACAAAAGTCTTTGGTCTCCTGCAAATACCTCAGAACTCTCTTGATGCCATTCCAGGCTTGCACACTAGGGTTTGATGCTTCCCTGCTGAGCAGATTGACAGCAAACGCTATATCAGGTCTGCTCCACTGGGACAAGTACAACAAACTCCCTAGGGCTGACTGAAACACTTCAGTATTTTTGAACGCAGCGCGTTCTACTTGCTGGCTGTCCTTCACAAAACTAGTCTCCATAGGACTTCTCACTCCTGCACAATCACTCATCCTGAATTTCTGAAACAGTTGCTCAATTTTACCTCTCTGGCTGAGCAAAAAACTTCCATCCTGTGCACGCTCAACATTGACACCTAGATAGGTTTTGACAGCACCAAGCTGTTTAAGCTTGAATCGTTTACCTAGCTCTTTGGCAAACTTCTCCGCCTGTTCATCTGTTTCTGAGACGAAAAGCACGTCATCAACCCAAATCATCACCAGTTCCTGTGAGTCTCCTGATCCTCTAAGGAACAGGCAACTGTCAGCAAGACTCTTCCTGAAACCTAGCTTCTCCAAAGCTTCATTCAGGCACATGTTCCAGTTTCTAGCAGATTGACGTAATCCATAGATGGATTTGTGCAATCTCCACACAACATCTTGCCTTGAGTTCTCAAACCCCGGAGGAGGAATCATGTACAGCTCCTCCTGGAGATCTGAGTTAAGGTAGGCAACATCCACATCAAAGTGGTTTACCTTCCAGCCTCTCTGTGCTGCACAAGCTAAAAGCGTTCTCAGAGTCTCCGCTCGTGACGTTGGCGAATACACCTCCGTGAAGTGTATTCCCTTCCTCTGAGTAAATCCTCGAGCAACTAACCTGGCTTTATACTGCGGCTCTCCAGCATCAGTGGGTTTCAAGCGGTAAACCCATCTGGAACTCACAGCCTGCTTCCCGGTGGCAACTCTGTGAGTGAGAACACACCTAGATCTTTCATGGACTTCATCTCTTTGTCCATTGCCCTGTGCCACTTGCCTGCTTCTTCCTCAGGTAAACTCTGAATATCCTCGAAGGATTCAGGTTCACATCTTGCAGAACCTACCCAGACGCCTGAAGCGCCGTACCGATCAGGAGGCCTCCTTGTCCTCGCTGATCTCCTCAGTGTGACTCCTGGTGACCCTGCCGCTTCACTGGGTCCAGCTAAATCATCCTCAACTTCAGTGTCTTCCCCCTCTGACCTGCTGCGCCTCTTGGGCCTTACAGCTGGTCCAGCAGGTGAAGAAGGCTCACTCTTTGGCTCAAACTTGACACTTGCCTGAGGAGGTGTTCTAGGTTTCCCCCTCTGAGGGATCCTGAGCTGTCCCTGCCTTGGACTCTGTCCCTCTGGACCGTGGTCCCCAGCTCCAAGTTCCTCCTCCTCCTCGTCTGAGTCATAGAACTGCTGTGGAAGCACGTCTGGATTAGCGTGCAGACGTTTCCAACCAGCTTGCTCACAGAACTCAGCGCTATTGCTGATAACCAACCTAGACTGGTCTCCACTTGGGTATGCAAACCTCCAGGCCTTTGAGCCAGGCTCATACCCTACAAAGATCATTCTTCTAGATCTTGGCTCACCTTTCTTGCGTAGAGCCTTTGGAATAAGCACCCAAGCCTCACAACCAAACACACGAAGGTAGTGTACCTTGGGCTTATCTCCATGAAGTAAGAAATACGGTGTATTTCCTACACTAGAGTTGTACACTCTGTTCTCGGTATGGACCACATATCTCCAGGCCTCCGACCAAAACTTCTGGGGTAGCCCTGCGTCCCACAGGATCGCAGACACAGCTTCCTGCACCGTCCTGTTCTTTCTCTCTGCCACCCCATTCTGTTGCGGAGAGTAAGGAGCGGTCAGTCTGTGGCTAATCCCTTCTCCCTAAAGAAATCCTGTAAAGCAGAACCAGTGAATTCAGCACCTCTGTCACTTTGAAAACCACGAACTTTGGTGGAAAAGGTTACCTCAACTGCGGTGATCCAATCCCTGATCATTTTAGCCGCCTCCCTTTCGTTTTCAGAGAGAAGGTCCAAGCAGACCTCGAAAAATCATCAATCAAAAGCAAAGAATACCTAGAACCTCCCAGTGACTCAACAGACATGGGTCCACACAAATCTGCATGGATTAATTCATAGGGTTGCGTGGTCTGCCTCTCTGACTTTGGATATGAGCATGTCACAACTTTCGCCTGTTTACATGCATTGCAATCTAGAAATTTGTCACAAACATTAAATTTGCACCCTTGTGTCAGCTCTGGTGCTTTCTGGAGAAATTTCCAATTTAAATGAGTGAAGCGTCTGTGCCAAATATGTGTACAACCATTGTGGGGCGCTACATTCACACATTGGCCCTTCGCATCTTCGGTGTCATCCTCTCCTGTGGAAAAAGGCACATTTACAGCAAACAAATTATCTTTAGACTGCACTGTGTACATGTGTTTCCCATCCTTGGAAAATTCACATTTGTCACCTGCAAAAGAAATTTGAAAATTATCAATCAATAGATCATGCACACTTAACAAACAGTTAGTTAAACCGGGCACTGCATAAGCTTTGACTTCATGCTTAAGAAAAGGACAGAAGAACAGTCCTGTTTCTGTCAGCCTTTTCTGCTTCCATCTGCAAACTTAACATACTTCTCAGTTTTTACTGTCCTGCAATTCCTCAAAAGATCAGCAGATGGCACTAACGAATTTGACGCACCACTGTCAATGATTATAGTGAGAAAGTCTTGTTGTTTACATTCCTGGGTCGCCAGGGCAACAATCTCTTCACTACCCCCCTCCTTGGGGCTTCTGCAGATGTCCTCTCTGGTTGTCATGGCAACAGACTCCCCGGCAGGAAGACTTGCCCACGACCTTGACAGCTTCCGTAGATGCAACTCTCTCAGTTGCCATGGAGACTGGACTTGTCTCGGCATTCCCACACAACTCTGAAGCGCTTATCTCTACTTGCTGCAGGTGGCTGACCTTGAAGCGTCTAGCACTTTTCAGCTTCCCAGGCTCCGACTCACGACGTAAACAACTCTTGGCAGCTTTTGGAGAAAGAGGCGTCTCTGAGCTTTCACTGCTCACTGCCCCCCCACTGCTCACGGGGTCTCGAGGACGTTTTTCTGCACCCCCTCTGAAGGGTAAAGGGCTCTCAACACTTGGCCTCTCTTCAGGTTTCACACACAGACACGTTGCAACATCCACACAGCTCCCAGGCTCAGCAAAAGCACAAGCAGCATTGCTAGCAACAATAGCAGGAACAGTCCCTTCGCCCCCCTGTGGGGGCTCACAGCTCCGCCCAGCTGTGCATCGGCACTCAAGAATGTGGCCGGCGCCATCTTGCCTCTCCCTTTCGGATGCAGCCACTTCTCGGCCCTTGCTTCCCACTCCAGCTCCACAAGCTTCTTGGAGTGCTAGCCAAGCGGCCTCTGGCCTTCTTGCACCCAGGACAACAGGCACCAGATGAGCATCCACACTTTCTGCCAAAAAAGCAAGCACACGCTTCTCAACTTCACTTTGCTCTGCAGCCCTTTCAGCCTCTGCTTTCCCAGCTGCATTCTGTGTGGGGTGAATTACATTCCACAGCTGCTCCCCCACCAGCAAAAGCTCCACTTGAAAGCTCCACTGCAGCCAATTTTGGCTAGTCAGTCTCTGACATGGCAGCTTAAGCTCAAAGCCATGTTCACAGGGCTGAGCCATTGCCCCCTTCTGTTGGCTTTTCCCAAAGGTACTCACTCAGCCAAACTGGAAACTCCGGACGTCATGGCTCTTGGCTGCCAGCCTCCGTCGATCTGCCTCTTTGAAGTCTCCGGCAGTCGATCAAACTGACGATCAGCAGATAAAACTTCAAAGCCCTTCCTCACACGCTTCACGTTGACCCATAACCATGTTAGGTAAGAATTTATTGCTTTACTGTTGTGGTCCGGCACGCTCCCCTGCAACTCTGCAGGTCGTAAAGCAATTAGCAGAATTGCACAGCAGTTCGTGTAGAAAGGGCAGTAAAAGTCCCACACGTTTCTTCTTTCCTAGTAGCACTTTATTTGCTCAAAAATAGCATATTTACAGTTCATATACACCATCTGATTCCAGTTGCATTTTGCGACCTTCTCTCTTAGCTTGCAGCTGCGGAACAAAGCTGCTTTCACTTTTCACTCAGCTCACAGCATTCCAAGCTGTTTTCCTCACGTCCTGGCTTACTTCCCTTGTAAGCGCCTCCTCTCAGCCTCGAGACACAGAAGGTTAACCCTTCACTACACCCAACAAATCTTCCTCAAATTATTCCTTTTTCTACCAGGATTGGGCTGGTTTGAACTTCCCAGGCCATCTTCAATGTCAGCTTCAGAATTGTTAGGAAAGCTAAGTAGCTTCAGGTTTTTGTTTTTGCTCCTGTCAGTCTTGGGTTGAACAAAGAGACGACTGACATTGGAGATGGAGGGGATGCCGTGACTGGGCCAAACAAAACCCATCCCAGAGAAGAGCTAGGCTCATGGAATCTCAGGTAGTAGTAGCAGTGATGAGGATGAGGATGATGATAGTAATAGTAATACAGTGGTACCTCGGTTTACAAACTTAATCTTTTCCGGAACAGGACAGTTCTTAAATCGAGGTACCACTGTAGTAGTAGTAGTAGTAGTAATAATAATAATAACAATAATAATAATAATAATTTTTATTTCTACCTCCCATCTGGCTGGGGCTGCTCCGATGAGAATTGGGGCTGCTCCGATGAGAAGGGAGGCATCACGCTGCCCGAGCCTTGCGGCTGCTCTTGACCTTCCTTCTTTGCCTTCCATGCCTGACCCACTGCGCAGCGCTTCCCCATCACCACCACCGAAGAACCAACAACTCAGGGGCTACCCAGGCTCATGGAGAAAGGAGATAGAAGCCTTGGGCGGCTAACAACAATAAAACAGTACAAAAGTACAGCATAAACAACACTCTAAAATCATTCATTATAAAATTAATTAATTCAAGCCACTGGCAACCATTGGGCCAGAGCTCCGTGAAGATTGCTGAGGGAGGGAGTCAGAATGTAATGCAATGTAATGCAATGCAATGACTTTTATGAAGGAGTATTTATTAGAACAGCAATCATAAAGAAAAAACGTGAAACGTTTGGTAAACATTTCTTAACGTTTAGCTTTAATTACGGCCTTACAATGCCTTCCCATGAAGTGAACCAAGTTTTTAGTTCTGCAGCTGTAAGAATGTCAAACCAAGACTGAATTATTGCCTCTGTTGATTGGGCTTTATTGCTGGGTTGCCTCTGATTAACAAGTTTCTTTCATCAGCTGCATAGATTTCCGATTGGATTAAAGTTTGGGCTATTCCCAGACCATTCCGGGAGTGGAATGGGATCATCTTGAAAGCACCGTTTGCACACAGCAGCAACAGGTCATGGAGCTGAATCCTGTTGAAATAAATAAATAAATATGCTTCAGTATCTGGGAAAAGATCACCTGCGGAACGCTTCAGTTTGGGCTCAAGCATTTCATTTATATATTTGGGGGGCGTTTAAAGTTAAAGGGACCCCTGACTGCTAAGTCCAGTGGCGAATGACTCTTGGGTTGTGGCACTCATCTCGCTTTATTGGCCAAGGGAGCCGGCGTACAGCTTCCAGGTCATGTGGTCAGCATGACCAATCCTCTTCTGGCGAACCAGAGCAGCGCACGGAAATGCCGTTTTAAACCAACCAACTTGTTAGCAATCAACCAACCAACTTGTTAGCAATCACGTAACACACTGACAAAAGTCAACCTAAGCATGTTGTGCTTCCTTTTTCTGCTTATTTGGCTATAATGTTTGATAGAATAATTGAACAAACTTTATTGGATTGCATTCTTGATTAAATTATCTTCCCACTGATAAATAACTTTATAATATTACTCGAAAAGAAGTGGGGTTATGAGCCATCAAACCTCTGAAATACACTTTTTCCCCAAAAGGCTTCCACAGTTTTGGCCACTGTTGTTGTTGTTTAATCGCTTAGTTGTGTCCGACTCTTCGTGATCCCAGGGACCAGAGCACGCCAGGCACTTCTGTCTTCCACTGTCTCCCGCAGTTTGCTCAAACTCATGCTCGTAGCTTCGAGAACACTGTCCAACCATCTCGTCCTCTGTCATCCCCTTCTCCTTGTGCCCTCCATCTTTCCCAACATCGTGGTCTTTTCCAGGGAGTCTTCTCTTCTCATGAGGTGGCCAAAGTATTGGAGCCTCAGCTTCAGGGTCTGTCCTTCCAGTGAGCACTCAGGGCTGATTTCCTTAAGATTGGATAGGTTTGATCTTCTTGCAGTCCATGGGACTCCCAAGAGTCTCCTCTAGCAACATAATTCAAAAGCATCCATTCTTCGGTGATAAGCCTTCTTTATGCTCCAGCTCTCACTTCCATACATCACTACTGGGAAAACCAGAGCTTTAACTATATGGACCTTTGTTGGCAAGGTGATGTCTCTGCTTTTAAAGATACTATCTAAGTTGGTCATTGCTTTTCTCTCAAAAAGCAGGCGTCTTTAAATTTCGTGACTGCTGTCACCATCTGCAGTGATCATGGAGCCCAAGGAAATAAAATCTCTCACTACCTCCATTTCTTCCCCTTCTATTTGCCAGGAGGTGATGGGCCCAGTGGCCATGATCTTCGTTTTTTTGATGTTGAGCTTCAGACCATATTTTGCACTCTCCTCTTTCACCCTCATTAAAAGGTTCTTTAATTCATCCTCACTTTCTGCCCTCAAGGTTGTGTCATCTGGATATCTGATATTTCTTCCAGCAGTCTTAATATTGGCTTGAGATTCATCCAGCCCAGCCTTTCGCATGATGAATTCTGCATATAAGTTAAATAAGCAGGGAGACAGTATACAGCCTTGCCGTACTCCTTTCCCAATTTTGAACCAATCAGTTGTTCCATATCCAGTTCTAACTGTAGCTTCTTGTCCGACATAGAGATTTCTCAGGAGACAGATGAGATGATCAGGCACTCCCATTTCTTTAAGAACTTGCCATAGTTTGCTGTGGTCAACACAGTCAAAGGCTTTTGCATAGTCAATGAAGCAGAAGTAGATGTCTTTCTAGAACTCTCTAGCTTTCTCCATAATCCAGCGCATGTTTGCAATTTGGTCTCTGGTTCCTCTGCCCCTTCGAAATCCAGCTTGCACTTCTGGGAGTTCTCGGTCCACATACTGCTTAAGCCTGCCTTATAGAATTTTAAGCATAACCTTATAGAATTTCAAGCACTTGATTTGAGTGCAGTTGTGCGGTAGTTGGAGCATTCTTTGGCACTGCCCTTCTTTGGGATTGGGATGTAGACTGATCTTCTCCAATCCTCTGGCCACTGCTGAGTTTTCCAAACTTGCTGGCATATTGAGTGTAGCACCTTAACAGTATCATCTTTTAAAATTTTAAATAGTTCATCTGGAATATCATCACTTCCACTGGCCTTGTTATTTGCAGTGCTTTCTAAGGCCCATTTGACTTCACTCTCCAGGATGTCTGGCTCAAGGTCAGCAACCACACTACCCGGGGTGTATGAGACATCCATATCTTTCTGGTATAATTCCTCTGTGTATTCTTGCCACCTCTTCTTGATGTCTTCTGCTTCTGTTAGGTCCTTACCACTTTTGTCCTTTATTATGGTAATCTGTGTACAAAGTGTTCCTTTCATATCTCCAATTTTCTTGAACAGATCTCTGCTTTTTCCCATTCTATTGTTTTCCTCTATTTCTTTGCATAGCTTCTCTGAGTTATTCAAGTCCCTTCGCCACGGCAAGGCAGTGATCCATGAAGGGGATTTTGATCACTACTGTGTATCAAAGAAAGCAACATTCAACAATTCATCAGAATCCAATAATAAATATGTTGGTTAATGACAAACAACACAGGTAATGAACACATACCCAATTTGACGCGCAGTGTAAATTAATAATGCAGAGTTCTTATGTGAAAGAATAAGAGCTTTACTGAATTAAAATTAACTTATAAAAAACATGGTTCCAAACAGTTTGACTGAGATTACATACTGACTCTGCTCACAACTGAGGTGGACTGACTCTGACTGAAATCTTACAGAGAACACAGAGAGAAAATGGCTGCCAAGTCACATGTCAGAGTGACTCAACAGTTAGCAGTTAGGCCTGAATGACTTTAGTAGACCCAAATGATTGTGCATTCCCAGCACCTCCCAGCCTGTTTCCTGCTTCTGCTCTCATGTGTCTTTGTCATATGACACAACACCCTTCAGTTCTTCTCCATTTATTCCGGAGGCTTTAATCCCTTTTTGTCTCCATTGCAGATTCTGATGAATCGGAAATCGAGAACAAAGGTGACCGTGAAAAAATCCCCAGAGAGGAGAAGCCAGGTAAAATTTTGGAGTGTGGAGAAAGCTGCAGTGAGAGCTCCCATTACACTTACCATCAACAAAATCTTATTGGAAATAAACTCTATCAGTGTGTGGAATGTGGAAAAAGCTTCAGTCACAGCCAGAATCTTGCTTCCCATCAAAGAATTCATACAAGGGAGAAACCTTATCAGTGTGTGGAATGTGGAAGGAGCTTCACTGATAGCTCTTCCTTCACCTCCCATCAAAGGATTCATACAGGGGAGAAACCCTATCAGTGTGTGGTATGTGGAAAGAGCTTCAGTCAGAGCTCCCATCTCACTTCCCATCAAAGAATTCATACAGGGGAGAAACCCTATCAGTGTGTGGAATGTGGAAAGAGCTTCACTGATAGCTCCTCTCTCACCTCCCATCAAAGGATTCATACAGGGGAGAAACCTTATCAGTGCATGAAATGTGGAAAGAGCTTTAGTCACAGCCACAATCTCACTTCCCATCAAAGAATTCATACAGGGGAGAAACCCTATCAGTGTGTGGAATGTGGAAAGAGCTTCAATCAGAGCTCCGCTCTCACTTCCCATAAAAGAATTCATACAGGGAGAAACCTTATCAGTGTGTCGAATGTGGAAAGAGCTTCAGTCACAGCCACCATCTCACTTCCCATCAAAGAATTCATACAGTGACCAAATCCTATCAGTGTGTGGAATGTGGAAAGAGCTTCAGTCAGAGCTCCCATCTCAGTTCCCATCAAAGAATTCATACAGTGGGAAAACCCTATCAGTGTGTGGAATGTGGAAAGAGCTTCACTGATAGCTCCTTTCTCACTTCCCATCAAAGAATTCATATAGGGGCAAAACCCTATCAGTGTGTGGAATGTGGAAAGAGCTTCAGAAACAGCCGCAATCTCACTTCCCATCAAAGAATTCATACAGGGGAGAAGCCCTATCAGTGTGTACAATGTGGAAAGAGCTTCATTCAGAGCTCCTCTCTCACTTCCCATCAAAGAATTCATACAGGGGAGAAACCCTATCAGTGTGTGGAATGTGGAAAGAGCTTCACTGATAGCTCCTCTCTCACTTCCCATCAAAGAATTCATACAGGGGCAAAACCCTATCAGTGTGTGGAATGTGGAAAGAGCTTCCGTCAGAGCTCCCATCTCACTTCCCATCAAAGAATTCATACAGGGGAGAAACCCTATCAGTGTGTGGAATGTGGAAAGAGCTTCAGTCAGACCTTCTCTCTCACTTCCCATCAAAAAATTCATACAGGGTTGAAACCCTATCAGTGTGTGGAATGTGGAAAGAGCTTCACTTATACCTCCTCTCTCACTACCCATCAAAGGATTCATACAGGGGAGAAACCTTATCAGTGTGTGGAATGTGGAAAGAGCTTCAGTCAGAGCTCCCATCTCACTACCCATCAAAGAATTCACACAGGGGAGAAACCTTATCAGTGTGTAGAATGTTGAAAGAGCTTCAGTAACAGCCGGAATCTTACTTCCCATCAAAGAATCCATACAAAGGTGGGAAAACCATTATACAGTTTTAGAATCCAGGCTTTGGCTAATTGACGTGTATGAAGATCAAAGTATTATGGGCCTTAATTTATGATGAGTCAAAAAAAGTGTTTGGAATAACCTTTCTAAAAAGACCATAGGGATTTCTGTTAAGTATTGTTGGCAGGGACATCCCGAATGCCTTTAGAGAGGTATTTTTATATGCAACGGCCATAGCTCGGACTTAGGTGGGAAAGGGGTGGAAGGAAGAAGAAGTCTCGACAGTAACGGACTGGCATTGCAAGCTACAAGAATTTGCTGAAATGGTGCAGTTGACAAATAGCCTGAGAGGCACTTCAAAACAAAAAATTATTTAAAAATGGGATAGATAGATATTCAAAAATACAGTAAAGTTTCGCTATCTATGCTAGCATTCAATTGACGTTGGAAAGAGACTGAGTTGAGAAATAAGACCAAGGGTACATATTGATATAGGAATGTATTAGAAAAAATGTAAAGAAATATACAATAATAAGAATACATTCATTTGTGAAAAAGGAATATAGAACGGGATAGACAGGAAGTCCAAAGTGTTGGTACATATATGATTTTGGAATAATTTTTTGTCCTTGTTTTTTTTTCCTTTTAGCATGTAAACTTTGTATACATGTTGAAAATTATAGTAAAATAAGCCTTGTGATGTAACATGATCATGTTTACCGATGTAACATAAGAACATTAATAAATAATTTCAAAAAAGACATCTAATGCCCTTTTAACATGTGATGTTTTGTGTTTTTATGTGGTGTTTTTATGTTGTAACCATCCTGAGGCCTTTGGGTGTAGGGAATAGGCTACAACCCTTAAAGGCCTAGGGGTCTTTGACCCATCCCCCAATAAAATATTTGAGGATGCCACCCCCCAGTTTTGGGTGTGTTTTTTCCCCCAAACACAACCTTTTATTCTTCTCTTAAAAATAAAAAAATAAACTCACAAAGGTCATGAGGAAAACAAAATACAAGAAAATACAAACGTGGACAGGTCCCATCTTTCCGGGCAAAACGCAAAAGTTTCTTTAAAAGAGGCTTTCCCAAACTTGGGTCCCCAGCAGCTCCCGGACTACAGCTCCCATCATCCCTCCCTGTTGGTCCTGCTAGCTAGGGATGATGGGAGCCGTAGTCCAAAACCAGCTGGAGACCCAAGTTTGCTTTAAAGGGAAAGTAGGCTGGCCCTGTGACACCCTCTGCTGCACAAAAGCACTGCCCCAGAATCTGAACCACCCCCAGTACTGCTAATTGGAATTTAAAGAGCCCAAAACAGAAGTTTGATCGGCACTTCAACCTCTAGGGAGCTTCTAGGTGCTTTCTGCGCCACCTAGAGTACCCACAGAATTGTGGCATCTATTGGCAACACACATAGGAGAACAAATGAAAGACAAACACAAGGGGCAGGAAAAAACCTGGAAAGGGCCATACCAAATGGACATCCGGGGTGAAGAGGTCACTTTCCCCACTGCTGAACAATGCCACAGGTAGAGGAGATGGAATGCTAGAAGTGTCTCCGGGGCAAGGGGAGCTGCTGGGAAACTGAACTACAGGCTCAAAGTATTACTTTTTAAAAAAGTTGTTGCCATTATAGGCATTGCCATTCAAATGGTGTGCATGCATCATGTGATTGATTGTGCAAGGTGGGCCTTACCTGGCCCCCCACCAATATTTTATTCAAGTCGGCAGCACTGGGTCATGTGGTTTCCAAATTAGATAAAGACATGAATCTCCTTCCTTTGCGCATGTCAATATCCTCATTTATTATTTTTAAAATTTATTTTCCCTTCATCTGAAGATTTTACAATATAAACATACAGGATGAAAGCATGGCTTTCTCAAAAACAAATCAAGCCAGAGAAATCTCTCCATTTTCTTTTCTTTTTTTGATGGAGTTACAAACTTTGTTGATCAGGGAACTGCTGTTGAAATAGTGCATCTCGATTTCAGTAAGGCTTTTGACAAAGTCCTCTGATGTTTATTTGAGGAAGGTGGTAAAATGTGGGCTGAATGAGGTAACTGTTAGGTGGATTTGACTGACCGAACCCAAAGAGGACTCCTTCATGGTTCCTCCTCATCCTGGGGAAAAGTGACAAGAGGGGTACTGCAGGGTTCTGTCCTGGGTCCGTTGTTGTTCAACGTCTTGATAAATGACATGGATGAAGGAACTGAGGGGATGCTCTTCACATTTGCAGAAGACACCAAACGGATCATAATGGCATCCTCTCTCTTCTTCAGCAACAGACAGGGAGACAAAGAACAGTGCAAAAGCACAGCAGAGCAGAAGAGATAAGACTGACTTCCGTTCTTACACTTTCCAAGCCTAGGAAACTAAACAGGTTCATGTTGAAAATGAACTTTCTTAAACACCCTTTTTATTAGGTATCCCAAAGCAAGTGCTGCCAAAAGAAAAATGGATATTATTTATGTATGCTATAACAGCGGCCAGAATCTTGATTGCACAATATTGGAAGACAGAAGACATACCATCAAAGGAACAATGGCCAGAAAAACTGATGAACTCTGCAGAGTTGGCTAAGCTAACAGATAAACTATGAGAGAAGGACAAAAAGGACTTCAAAAGAGTCTGGGAACCATTTACAGTCTATTTGCAGAAACAACAAAATGGACTGGATTCACTGGCAGGGTTTGAATAAACTTTCACAACTTTATTTCAGTAACAGATACTTTAGAGAAATGATTTGGGAAATTGCTTTTATATAAGAAAAGCAGGATACAACAAATAAAGCTAAATAACTCAGCAGAGGGGAAGTTGAGGGAAGTCCAGAGGAGGGGAGGGAAAACAATGGTAAATAACATGATGATTGAGATCTGTATTTTTTTTTGTTATAAAATTCAATAAATATTCATTTTATTTTAAAAAAGAAAGTAAACAGAGACATGTGACATACTAGCCACATATCCAGCAACGGGAGGAGTGAATTGCTAACACAACACACATGATTGCAGGTGTTACAGAAATGACATGGGGTGGCAAATCTTTAAAGTCGTCACAATGTGTTCAATTCTGGGCATCACCGAAGGAGAAGGGATGTGTCTGCAAGCATTGGAGAGTGAATTTTAAGTTATGGTGGGGTGGGGTGGGGTGGGGTGATGGGCTGAAATTTAGCCAAGCTTTGCTCTTTGGTAGAAAAAGATGGAAGGATTGGTTTTCAGAGTTTGGAATAGAGTGTTAAGAAGTGGGAGGTGAAAGCGGCGATGTTTTGGAGCAGAGCTGGCGATATCAAGCATTTGAGTGATTATCTGGGGATTTTCATCACTTTGTCTGTTATTCAAATCAGACTTCAAATAGGCTAAAGTCCAGCCAAAGTTTAAAGCACATACAAATTCATAATTAGGTGGAATGTGCCTTGACCAAACTTTTATTACTGGCTTTTGGTGGGAAAGTTGAGTTGTTGGGTTGTCTGAATGTTGAAGTTCTGATCTATTTAAAGTTTCAGATCTATAAGTCTGCTTCCTAAGCAAAAAGAAACAGGAAAGCATACATATCAGAAATGTCTTAGGACATCAAACTGGGAAAGGGATTTTAAACTAACTGAAAAGGTTTTATGCCCTTGGGAATTTGGTCTCTTAAATCTTAAATCTACCCCTTCGCCTTCCTTGAGTCCCTGGTAAGAAAAGCCAATCATGGCTTTATTCAAATGGTAATTTAGTCAGGTGATGCAACACTTCAAATGGTATAATAGATTGCTGAATCATGTACCCTGTACATGTACAGTGGCTACGTTAGTTTAAAAAAAGATGAAAAGAAAAGAAAAAGTAGGTTTAAACCAAGAGGTGACAAAGCTATGCTCTGCACATGAAACTTGATTCAAATTTCTTTTTGTAAAATTGGGAGCCATTAAGGGAACTGCAGTAAGAAGTACCCCTTTTGTGTGTTTGTGTAAAATGGTTGGTTGCCCCAAAGCTTTGCCCCAGGGGGTCCCAAAGGGGAAATAATGGTGAAGTACTGAACCATCAACTATGGAAGAAAGGTTGCCAAGGTCCAAAGATAACATGCAAGATTCTTTCCACAGGTAAATTTCAGAGTTCTCCCACTCTGAATTGTCTCTGAGTAGTTTTTTTTTTTAATGGATTTTTATCGATTTTATCAGGTTTGGTTTTGTGTGTATATACCTATGCACTATAGCAGGGACGTCCAACTTCCAAGATGCTGAGATCTACTCCCAGTAATAAAAAACCTGCCAGTGATCTACCCATTGTCTTTGCCCAGAGTTGTGGAGCTTTTCTCAGGGAGCAGTGACCAGAGTCGTGGATCGACCAGTAGATCGCGATTGACCTGTTGCACATGCCTCCATTCTAGGAACAGCATCGCTGACGCAGAATTTCACAGGAAGGCCCTAAGATGATTCCCCTTTCAGACAGCATACCTGAACGTAAGCCAGCAGGGTCCTCCTCTCCGGCAGCCCCAGAATGGCCTCCGCTGTCCGGTGCTTGGACACCTGAAGGGCATGGAGGCCTCTCAGGGCAGCTTCCTGGCAGCTCTGCATCACCTGGAGCAAGAGATCTTGCTCTGGCTCCAGCAAAGGTCAGGCTGTCACGTTCCTCACAACTGAGAGTCCTGGCAGCGGGGTGCAGGTCTTTGGGATCATCTCCCTCATAGCTGTCAACTTTTCCCTTTCCTTGCGAGAATCCTATTTGGAATAAGGGAATTTCCCTTCAAAAAGGGAAACGTTGACAGCTATGCTCTCCCTACTCTTGTTTCCTCCAATACTCACCATTGCTGGATGAAGAAAGCCTCTGGCACATCTTCAGGAAGATAAAAACAAGTAATAAATGAAATAAGAAACTGAGAAAATAAGAATCCACTGATTGCCTCACCTTGTCCTCCGTCAACTGCCACCAACTGCTCTCTCCTCCACTCGCCTCACTGCTAACCCAAAATGGCCGCCTGCAAGTCTATGGCTTTTACCGGTCCTTCTCACCCTGGCAACCCCCTCCCCTGGACCTGGGCCCACCTGGCTCCACCTATTGGGAGATGATCTATAATGAAATGAAAAAAGTTTTAAGAAAACCTTTGTTAAAAGACCAAAAGCGTTTTTATTAGGTATTTTAGGGCAGGATTTACCAAAAATTAAGAATATTCCATTCATGTATGTGACAACAGCAGCCAGAATTTTACTAGCTCAAAGATGGAAAAGCGATGAAAAACCAGCGAAAGAACACTAGCAAGAAAAGTTGATGGAATACGCTGAAATGGCGAAGCTAACTCAGAGACTTAAAGATAAGGGCAATAATGACTTTTAAAAAGATTGGGAACCTTTTAAGATGTATATACAGAAACAATGCATAGAAATGAACTCACTGGCAGGATTTGAGTGACACACTTACAATGGACAAATACAAACAGAAAATGCAATTATGAGGTAAAAATGAGAAGGAAGAGACAAATGTTATAGCCTTCATTTTAATATAAAAGGAATACAAAATTATAAGCAAAAGAAACAGAGATGTTATAAACCAGGAAGGGAAGCTGGAGGAATTCGCATGGCGGGGGGGGGGGGTGTTAATTGAAATTGTAAAATGTAATTTGAATGTTTGATTATGTTAAAATTTCTTTAATTAAGTTATTTTTTAAAAAAAGAAAAGCAAAGCAATGGCTCCTCTTACTTAAGGGCCCCACAGACCTCATGGGACACCAGAGCAGATTCCCTTGTTGCTTTTTTGAGTCAACCAGCAATGCAGGTTGCATTTCCTTATTTCCAGGAGGGCTGTTGCTAAAGCACATGACATGCTCTTCACACTTAGTTATCTATTAGGAACACACGCACAAATTATTGTGTGTGTGTTTGTATTTGCAAACTACTGGGGTCTCTGAGCAGTGAGATTCCAGGCGTCCCAGGTGCTTCCCCATCTTCGGTTTCCTTGGAACGAAGGTCAGTGGAGACTGTGGCGTCTTTATGATATCTAGCTTTATTTACTCACATACACAACCTGAGTGTAGGACGGAGGAGCTCACAGCATCAACACCCGAACGGATCTTGCTTCTCTATTAGTCGCAGCTTTGGATCCGGCACAGAGCAAGCTGGTTTCGGGGTTTCCCACAACTCTCCCTGGGTCTTGCTTTCCTACCTAGCAGCCAGGTGAGACGGGAGGGGGGAGGACAGCCCCCCCATTAGCTGCATGTTGTGTATTGAGTCAAAGGATTTTATATCTGTATTATTATTGTCTGTATTTGCATTAGGGCAAAGTAACTGCCTTTTGGTTCCAGAGGGTACAGCTACTATTGGTTCATTTAAGCTGCTGTATTTGGATCCTCTGTCTTATTGGTTCCCTCCAAAAGGCAGGACTGTGATTGCCTGATATTGTTCCCTCCAAAATGTATCCTTTCTTGCTAGTTCCCTGTCCCTATAAATGTAGCTTTCCTCTCCCCAGTCTTCAGTCTTGTTGCTTTAATAAAGAAGTGTTACTAGAGAACTGTCTCCAGCATGTTATATCAGGAGAGCTGAATTCACAAACCCCACGTCACAACAACTGGCGACGAAGGTGGGATCCGGAATGCTGAGGAGCGGTTAAACGCAGCCCTGCCTCAGAGTCCGGATTGCAGCTAAGAACAAGACTCACTGGCCAGCTGAGAAGACGACCCTGCCACAGGACAATGGAGAGTCCAAGGGTATTGGAGCCCTTCCAGCCATCAGAGCCCGACACGTGGGAAGACTACGTGGAACGCTTCGAGTTCTTCGCAGAGGTTCAAGGGATCACCGATGCCAGCAAAAGAAGGGCCACATTCCTGAGCTACTGTGGGCCTGAGACCTTCAAGCTGGCCAAGGCATTGCTTGCTCCAGCGAAGCTAAGTGAGACATCTCTCAAAGATATTCTTGCCTGCCTAACAAGCCACTTGGCGCCTACTGAGACCAAGATGGCTCGGCGGATGGAGTTTCATAAGAGGCAGCAGCATGCTGGGGAGTCTGTATCTGCATTTCTGGCTGAACTGCGGAAGCTCGCTCAGCACTGCGACTTCCAAAATCTGGAAGAGACTCTCCTGGATCGGTTTATTGGTGGTCTGAGCAGCAAGAAGGCCAGAAGACACATCGTGGCTAAAGAAGAGGTTACCCTTGCTTCAGCCTTGAAGGAGGCCACCGCCACGGAGAATTATGAAAGAGAGGAGCTTGATGCCAGTCGCAAGGCCCCTAAGCCACAGATAGAAGTTGCGCATGCCATGGACGAGCTAGAGGCTACTCCGAGCCAGAGCCCAGTCCGTGGGGTCGAGTCAGTGAGTCAGGCCTGCACAGTGCACAAAGATCACCGAGGCAGGTGCCCAGGTTGTGGCGGAAACCATGAGCGGAAGAGTTGTCGTTTCCGGGATGCTATGTGCCGGACGTGCGGGAAGACAGGTCACATCGCCAGGGTCTGTAGATCGGCGGCGTTGGGAGCGACAGGAGCACCTAGACCGGAGCATCGCAGACCACCCGCAGCAACCCATTTTCTAAAGGACTGCCACTACATTACGGAGATCAACGGGAGGGTCGTGCAGTTCCCAGCACAAGGCAAGGCACACGTCAAGGTGAAGATTGAGGGTCAGCAGTGCGACATGGAGGTGGACTCCGGATCTGGATTCACTATCGTGTCGGACCAGACCGCGAGGACATTCTTCCCCAGGGGTAAGTTGCCCCTCTGGAACCCTTCCCGGCAACCTTGCAGTCATACTCAGCGGGCCGCATCCATGTTATGGGAATGTGTGCCGTGAGAGTACAGTTCCGGGACAAACAGGCTGTACTCAAACTGGTGATTGCGAAGGGCAGTCGCCCCAGTCTCCTGGGCACTGACTGGTTCCCCGCCCTGGGACTGAGTATATCAGGGCTTAATTCAATCCAAACCTGCCCTGAGATGAGCGAGGCATTATGCAAAGAATTTGCTGGTCTCTTTAATGGAAAACTGGGTTGTTATAAAGGGCCCCCAGTTGACTTCGAGTTGGACCCTGGGGTGGCCCCAATCCGACTCAAACCAAGGCGAGTGCCATTTGCACTGCAACCCAAGATCGAAGCAGAGCTGGATAAATTGGTCAAGCAGGGAGTTCTCTCACCCGTGGACTCTGCTAAGTGGGAGACTCCAATCGTCACGCCCCTTAAAGCAAATGGGGAAGTCAGGATCTGTGCAGATTACAAATGTACTATCAATAAGGCACTCAGGGGAAACTCATACCCCATTCCAGTCGTATCACATCTGTTGGCTAAACTGGCTGGGGGCAAGGTGTTCGCCAAAATTGACCTGGCACAAGCTTACCAACAGCTGCCAGTAACCCCACAATCAGCGGAAGCACAGACTATTGTCACACATAAAGGGGCGTTCAGAGTTAACAGATTACAATTTGGAGTTTGTGTGGCCCCAGGGATTTTTCAAGGGCTCATGGAACACCTGTTAAGAGGTCTGCCGGGGGTCTTGCCATTTTTGATGACGTTTTGATTGCTGGAAAAGACCCACAGGAACTGGTTGCGCGTGTTCGTGCAGTGTTGCTCAAGTTCAAGGAGGTGGGGTTGCAACTGAAAAAGGAAAAATGCAGTTTTGGGGTGCCAACTGTGGATTTCTTGGGGTTTAAAATTGATGCATCAGGCATCCACCCCACAGATGCTAAGATTAAGGCCATCATCGAGGCGCCACGACCACAGAACAAGACGGAGTTGCAGTCATTCCTGGGACTTATTAACTTTTATCATTCGTTCTTACCCCAGAAAGCTTCGGTAGCTGAACCATTACATAGACTGTTGCAGAAAAAGACTGTGTGGCGATGGGGGCAGGGGCAGCAGAAGGCTTTTGACTCCTTGCGAGGAATGCTGAGTAGCAGGAGTGTCCTTGCTCATTATGACGAGTCAAAGCCTCTGGTCCTGGCATGTGATGCCTCTCAATACGGCCTGGGGCGGTGCTAAGTCATAGGGAACCGGATGGGTCGGAAAAGCCCATCTCTTTCTATTCCCGTACGTTGTCGCCCACGGAGCGCAACTATGCTCAAATTGACAAAGAGGCGCTTGCAATTGTGGCAGGAATCAAAAAGTTCCATGATTATGTGTACGGTCGCCATTTCTACATTGAAACGGACCACAAGCCACTGTTAGGGTTGTTCAACCCGAACAAACAAACGCCACAAATTCTCTCCCCCAGAATGTTACATTGGTCTATATTCCTGAACGGGTTCCAGTACACCTTGACCCATGTGCCGGGGAACGGTTGTGCCACGCGGATGCGCTGAGTCGATTGCCCCTTCCTGGCGGGAGCACTGAGGATCCTGCTCCAGCGGAGCACATAATGATGCTGGAAACACTTCCGGGGCTCCTGTAACGGCTACTGATATAGCTGTGAAAACGAGGAAGGGTGCTGTTCTCTCCCGTGTGCTCACTTGGGTGGGGAGGGGTGGCCAGGTGGTCCGCATGAAGACAAATTCAGGCCTTATGCGACTAGGCAGCACGAGTTGTCCATGCATAAGGGTTGTCTCCTGTGGGGAGATAGGGTCATCATCCCAGCACCACTGAGAAACAGGGTTCTTGAGACGCTTCACATGGGACACCCGGGAATGGTCAGGATGAAGTCGCTAGCCCGATGTTATGTGTGGTGGCCTGGAATGGACCAGAACATAGAACAATGGGTACGAACATGCAAGGCATGCCAAGAGGTGCGGCCAGAAGTGGCCAGAGCACCAGTCCACTGGTGGGAGCAGTCCAGATCTCCCTGGAGCCGGCTGCACTTAGATTTTGCTGGGCCATTCCAAGGAAAGGTCTTTTTGGTTATCGTTGATGCATATTCCAAATGGTTAGAAGTGGCGATGGTCCCTAGCATGGCATCAGCTGCCGTCATCAAGGTGTTGAGGCAGCTGTTTGCAACCCACGGGTTACCTGAGACCATTGTATCAGATAATGGGGCAGCTTTTGTATCCCAAGAATTCAGGGCATTCTTGGCTGATAACTTCATAAGAGGGGTCAC